TCCTCCTCTCGAACGTGTTTCGACCCCGACGGTGGCGGCAGCCCGGGTCGTACGAGGAGGAGCCGAAGTACTCGCCGCCCAGCCGCCCCGCCAGCTCGCGCAGCAGCGTTCGCACGGGAGACTCGTCCCCGCCGCCCACCACCTGGGAGCAGCCCCCCCGGGGAAATCACCGCCTGCGAGCGCACCACCTGAGACCCCCCCGGGACCCCCCCCCGACCCCCTCCCCAACCTGCATGACGAGCGGAGCCGGCGCAGCGCCCGCCCGGCCCGGCCCCGCCACAGCCCGCCTGGGCCCCGCCAGCCTGCTGGGCCCTCCTCCGCGCCCCTCCAGTCGCCTCTGTGCCGCATGCCCCTCCGCCGTACCCTCCTCCGCTCGAGGAGACTCCGCTGCAAGACAAGCCCGGGCCGCCCCCGACGCTGCAAGCTGCGCCGCCTCTCGCGCCCGCGGCTGCTCCTCCACAGCCGCTCTCCTCGCCCCCGCCTCCGCCCCCGCCTCCGCCCCCGCCTCCGCCCCCGCCTCCGCCCCCGCCTCCGGCTCAGCCTCCGGGTCTGGCTCCGGCTCCGTCAGCGCCTCCGGGTCGGTCTCGTCGTCCGCCTCAGGCTCCGTCATCGCACCCACTCCCTCCGACGCCGCGGCCGCCGCAGCTGCGGCGGAGGCTGCTGCGGCGGCGCCCCCCGAACCCTCCTCCTCCTCCGCATCCTCCTTCGCATCCTCCTCCGCATAGCCACCCTCCCTCGCCTCCGCCTCCGCCGCCTCCGCTGCCATCGCATCGGCCGGCATGTCCGCCGCCGTCCCCGCCACCGCCGCCTCCGCCCGCCGCACCTCCTCCGCTGCCCCCTCGACGGCTGCCTGGGCCGCCTCCCCCGCCTCCGGCCCGGCTGCCTCCGGCCCGGCTGCCTCCGGCCCGGCTGCCTCCGGCCCGGCTGCCTCTGTCCTCGCTGCCACCTCACGTGCCGCAGCCGACGACTGCGCCGCGCCCCCCTACCCGCCCCCCGCCGCACCCCCCTCCTCGACCCCCGCCGCCTCCGCCTCCTCGCCCGCCGCCGCCGCCTGCGGGTGGGGCTGCGCCGGCCTGCCCTTGGCCCCGCGCCGCCCCCGCGCCGCCGCTTGCTGCGGCTCCGCCTCTGTGCGCGCGCCGTCGATGCGGAAGGCCGGGAGGAGGAGGACGAAGCCGCGCTTGCTCGCCCTCGTGCCCGCCTTGAGGGGCGGGGGTGGGGGGGGTTCGGTCAGATCTCGGCTCGATCTGAGCCCTATCTCGGCTCGATCTGAGCCCTATCTCGGGCCCGATCTCGCCTTGAGGAGCAGGTGGTCGGTCATGCTCCCGCGGTCCGACAATTAATTCATTCTATTAATTAATTCATTATGATCTCGCCTTGAGGAGCAGGGTGGTCGGTCATGCTCCCGCGGTCCGACAATTAATTCATTCTATTAATTCCTTATGATCTCGCCTTGAGGAGCAGGTGGTCGGTCATGCTCCCGCGGTCCGACTTGAGGTTGAGCCTACCTCACGACCACGCGGTTGATTACTGAGTCGAGTTGCGCCACGCTCCCGCGGCCCGACTCGAGGGCGAGCCGGAGGAGCAGAGGCAGCGAGACGCCATACAGCCCCGCGACCTATTCCCGACCCCGAGGCTCCCCGAGAGTGGGGGCGCATGGCGAGACGCCGCACGGCGCGCCACCAGCCGCGGCGTCTGGTTCTCGCTGCAGTGGTGGCTGCGCGTCTCGAGCCTCTGCGCGCGAGACAGCCGCTCCTGCCGCTCCTCCTCGTGCCGCACCCCCTCCATCTCGTCGGCGCTCTTGTGGTTGAGGTCCTAAGCGACCCATCGACGAGTGAGCAAAGCCTCGGACCGCCGCCCCTCCCCCCCTCCCCCGCCCTCGAGGCTCCTTTGCGATGAGCGCGTCCACCACGTCGTCGAAGTCCAGGTCCTCCTCGTCGCCGTCGCCGTCGTGCACCACGCGCCACATCTCGGGGTCCTCGTCCTGTTCACAGCTAGAGGTGTGAAGAGACGCTGTTCACAGCCGGACCTCGCCACACCTCAGGGTCCTCGTCCTCGTCCTTGCCCGGAGGGAGGTACTGCGCCACTAGCCCGTCCACGCCGCCCGGCGTCGTCTCGAAGAAGCGACGCACCTTGTGCACCCCCCTCCACCCCGTGACTTCACCAGAACACGCGGCCCGGGAGTCACTCGCTCCAGCGGCGCGCCTTGTGCCGGCTCTCCACCCACGCGTGCCCCTTGCTCCGCCACGCGAGCGACTGCGGCGCCGGCGCCGGCCGCGGCCGCCTCCGCCCGTGCCCTGCCAGTCCGCCTCCAGCGCCGCCCGGCGGCAGCCCCGCCTCGTCCTCGCTGCTGTCGTCCCACACCCGCGCCGTAGGCGCAGAGGGCGGCGCGGCAGCCGGGGCGGCGGCGGCGGAAGTGGCGGAAGTGGCGGCGGCGGCGTGTGCAGCGGCGTGGGACGGGGCGGCGGCGGCGGCGGGTGCAAGGGCCGCACTCGGGCCCGCAGCGGCGGCGTGGCTTGGCTTGGCGCGGCGGGGTGGCGTCGGCGGCGGAGGGTGCGCCACGCCTGGGGTCGTTATATTACATCCTTTGTGTCACATATTATTATTATTATTATTATTATTATTATTATTATTACCTAAGTCGTCGACCCACCCGCCCGCGGGCCTCTTCGGCCGCTCGCTCCTCCTCCGCGGCGCGGCGGCGGGAAGGGCGTGCGCTGCGGCCGCCGCTGCCCCGCTCGAAGGAGGAGGAGAGGCCGCCTTCGCCGCCGCGCCGCCGCGCCGCTCTCGGTCCGAGTCGTCGTCGCCTCCGTCGGAAGAGGAGGAGGAGGAGGAGGAGGAGGAGGAGGAGGAGGAGAGGACGGCCCGGCCGGCCCCCTGTCCACAGGAGGAGGTGTGAAGAGGCGCTGCTCCGACGCCTCGCCTGCCCATGCACCTGCCAGGCAGCCTTGGGCCGGCGCCCCCCCGCTGGCAGCAGGCGGGCGGGCGACACGCTCTCCTCGAGGCCGGGCGAGCGGACGGGCGCATCGCCGCCCTCGGAGGCGGGCTCGGCCCCCTCCCCCTCCCCCTCCTCCTCCCCCTCCCCCTCCTCAGAGTCCGCCCCAGACCCAGCCTCGTGCTGCGACGCCTCTTGCGACTCTCCCTGCGAGTCTTGCAGCGCCTCGCGCCACGCCTACGACACCACACTGTGCCCTCACACGCGGGGCCCGAGAGGCGTCTACTTGCTCTCGCTCAGATCCCACCCGCGCCTCTTCCAGCGTCGCCCTCCGCTCGACCGCCTACAGAGTGCAGAGCGCCGCCTCCTCGCACGCGCCCGAGCAGAGGCAGCAGCCCACGCCCCTCGGGCTGGCGCGCGTCGCTGCGCCGCTCGGCCAGCTCGCCCCGCTGCTCGGACGACAGACCCGCCTCACGCAGCGCCGCCTGAGGGCACGGGACAGCGTCGCGGACGTGTCGCGGACGGGTCGTGGACGGGTCAGCACGCCCGCCCGCAGCTCCGGCTCGGCCTGAGCGAGCCTCGCCTCCCGTCGGCCAACCCCCCCCCCCCTCTCCCCCCCCAAACGTCTCGGCAAATCTGCCCCTCCTCTCGGCCCCTCTCGGCCCCTCTCGCACCTCGGCCTCGAGCCATATCTCCCCATATCTCCCCATATCTCCCCATATCTCCCCATATCTCGAGATATCTCCCCATATCTCGGACCTCGGCCTCGAGCCGCATCGCCTGTTCACAGCTAGAGGTGTGAAGAGACGCTGTTCACAGCCGGACCTCGGCCTCGAGCCGCATCGCCTCGAAGGCGTGCGCCGCAGAGCCGAGCAGCGCGAGGCCCTCCTCGTCGTAGTAGCGGACGGAGCAGCGCTCGCACTCCCCCCGCCGGTCGAGCGCGATACAGAGGTCGTTGGCCGAGAAGCGGCTTCTCTTGTGCCTGAGGAGCGGCTGCACGGAGTGGAGATATGGGGAGATATGGTGCACGGCGTGAGGGCCGGACTCACAGTCTCCCTTCGGACTCACAGCCTCCCTTCGAGCCGAGGAGCGGCGCTTCGCGTGCCGTGGTGCAGCCCCCTCTCCCCCCCTCTCTTCCCCTCTCCCCCCCTCTCTCCCCCTCTCTCTCCCCCTCTCCCCCCCTCTCCCCCCCTCTCTCCCCATATCTTCGCGTGCCGTGGTGCAGCGCCTCCGACGAGCGCCGCGCCGTGCGCCGCCCCGCCTCGCTCCTTCTCCCTCTCGAGCAGCTGGCACGCCACGTCCGCCGCGTGCCACACCGCCGCGTCCGCATACCGCCGCAGCTCCATCAGGCGGCGGCCCACCTCGCCCGCCGAGTCGCCAGCCCACTTCCAGTCTCCCTGCCGGCAGAAGCCGCGGTACTTCCTCATCTCCGCCTCATCCGACCGACCGTCGGGGTCGTACCAGCCCTCGACTCCGCGCCCCGCCCTGGAGAGGCGCAGCTCCGACGGGATCGCCGCCGCCGCGACGAGCCACGCCCGCACCTAGTCGGATCATGGACCAGCCCCTACCCGACATCGGCCTCGGTCAACCGCGCCGCGTCGCCCACGCGCGGCACCGATGCGGCGTCGGGAGGCGCGTGAGGAGGGATGCGCTCGCGAGAGGCGGCTGCGCGGGCGGGGGAGGCAGAGCGAGAGGAGGAGGAGGAGGAGGAGGACGACGACGACGAGGCAGCGGCAGCGGCAGCAGCCGTGGCGGCGGCGGAGGCGGAGCGATGGGCGCTCCCGGCCTGCGCCGCCGCCTGCGCCGCCGCCTGCTCGGCGGCTCGTCCGATCTGCGGTGCCCTTCCACCGCCGCCCTTCCCCCCTCCCTCCCCCAGCCCCCGCCCCTCCCCCTGCTGCTGCTGCTCCCGCTCCCGCTCCTCCCCCTCTTCCTCCTGCCCCTCCTCGTCGGAGCTGTCGAAGAAGGAGCGGCGCGACGGCGCCTGCGCCTCAGCCAGCAGGTGTGAAGAGGCGACCTCGTCGGTGCTGTCGAAGGAGGAGCGACGGCGCCGGAGCAGCCAGCTCGAGCGCCCACCTCGCATGCTCCTCCAGCCTCCACGCCTCCCCGCTCGGCACCTGCCCCACAGCCACAGGTGTGAAGAGACGCTGCTCACACGCACGGCCTCCCCACCTCCCGGCTCCCGCGCGTGGACTCGTTCCGACGCGAGCCTCCCCGCCCGGGCCGAGGGCGGGAAACGCTTGGCCGCGTCAGAGTAGACGTGCAGCGCCGGGTGGACGAGCGCGCCTGGTGGCAAGCTCTCTTCTCACTCCGCCGCAGCCCTCTTTCTGACGGGGGAGGGGCAGCGCAGTGAGGACGAGCGCGCCCTGCCGCCCGCCGACTGACGCCTGTGAACCAGCAGCGAGTCATTCCTTCTTTCATTCCTCGCTACTAGGGCCTGCCACCCGCCGCCCGGCGCCTGCTCGCCGCGCACCCACCGCCTCGCGAACGCCTGCGCCGCCCCCTCGGTGCCTCCGTACCTGCGCACACACCGCGGCTGTGAAGAGGCCGCCCCCTGCCTCTCCGCCGCCACCTCGGCCCCTCCGCACTTAGCGCGGAAGAGCGCGACGTGCACGGTCAGCGGCTCGCCAGCGGCCGGCCGGGCCGAGGCGCCGACGCCGATGCGGAAGACGACCGCGTCACCGACGCAGAGCCGCTGGTCGACCGCGAAGCCGCGCCTGTCCACAGTGCCAGCCGTGAAGAGACGCCGCCCGCGGAGCCCGTCTCGCCGGCCGTGCGCCGCTTTGCCATCCTCCCGAGATGCCGCCGTTGTTGTGGCCTGGCCGCCGGAGGTACTGGCACGTCCACTCCCCCCCTCCCGCAACCAGCACCGCCGGCCAGTCCTCGGCCGGCAACTGGCCGTTCATCTCCTGCGGCAGCTGCAGCCAGTACCTGCCCACAGCCGCCGCCGTGAAGAGACGCTGTTCATAGCCCGTCCATCTCCTGCGGAAGCTGCAGCAAGCACCCGCCCGCCACGTGGGAAGGCTGGAGCCGCTTAACGAAGGCGGAGCCTCCGCGCGGGAGGGCGGCTCCCCCCCCTGTTCACAGGTGCAGGTGTGAAGAGACGCTGTTCACAGCCGCCGCGCGGGAGGGCGCTTGGCCTCGCCTGTGGCAGGCGCTGCTTGGATCGCGGCTCGAAGCGCGTCGTCGCGGGCCAAGCGACCTGTTCAACAATGATGAAGGATGGAGGAGGAATGATTTGCTCGCAGCGCGTCGTCGCCGAGCGAGCGCCCCGACCGCCGTGACCGCCGGCGGCGCTGCTGTCGCGGCGGCGCTGCTGCTGCTGCTGCGCGGCGGCGGCGGAGCGGGCGGGGAGAGGGGCAGAGCCCGCTGGACGGCGGCCAGCTGCTCCTCCTCCCGCGGCCCGCCCCTCCTCCGCCTCCCTCCCTGCTCCGCCGCTCCGTCGCTCCGCCCTCTCCTCCTCCCCCTCCGCCCCCCTCCCCTCCCGCCTCTCCGCCCGCCTCCCCGCCTCCTCCTCCTGCGGGTGAGTCACATGCTCCGCCCCGAGGCGGTACCGCCCCTCGGGAACCTTGCCCCACTGCCGCACGCACGCCTCGAGCCAGCCGACGTGGACCACCTCCAGACCACCCCCTCCCTCCCCGCCACCCCCCTCCCCGCCACCCCCCTCCGCCGCACGCTTCGCCGCGAGCGCCTCGCGCAGCGCCGGCCTCGCACGCGACACCGAGGCCGCGTCGGTGTGCGAGCAGACGAGATGCCTACTCCCACCCTCCCTCCCTCACGCCACCAGCTGGACAGCCGTCGGGCGGGAGGCGGGGCAGGCGAGGCGCGTCGCGCGGCCGTCGAATCCAAAGCCGCAGAAGAGGGGCTGGGTCCTCTCGACGAGGAGCAGGGCGTGCGCCTGCGCGCAGCTCGATGGTCTGAGAAGGGGCCGCTCTCCACGCCTCCGCCCCGCACCTCCTCTACCAGCGCAGCCCCTACTTCAGTGCGCCTTGGCCAGGGACCCGTCTGCAAACCCGGCCAGCGAGACGGCCACGGCACGGAGTGCCGGGATGCCGCCCTCGCAGCCCCGGCCAGGCGTCCCGCCAAGAGGGCGGAAGAGCGGAGACAGCCCCGGCGCGAGCGGCTGCGACACGCGCATCTGGAAGACGAGCCAGTCGGGAGTCACCTGCTCGCCGCCCTCGAGCACGCAATTCTCGCGGCTCGCGCAGATCTCGAGTGTCGCGGCGGACGGCGCCGCCGAGCAGATCGCGCCGCCGAGAGCCTGCACGGCGCGCTCGATGGCGTCGCGGCGCCTGCCGTCGGGCTCGGTGACGAGGAAGGTGCGGCCCTGGAGCTGCGAGCCCTCGACAACGCGGCCAAAGGCGGCATTCGCACTCCACATGGCGGGCAGCGAGGCGGGCGCCGGGGGGGCGGCGCTCTGTCGCGCGGTTACCCTTGCCGCGAAAGCAAAAAGAATTCTTAAAAGACAAGCCTCTCTCACAGCACACTGCCATCCCTCCCTTGGGTTGTCTGTTTTCTTTCTTTCTTTAGCACACTGGCACGACAAGGGCGCGGACTGGCGCGGACTGGCACACACACAGGCTCACCACCGGAGCCGCCTAAGCGACTCCGTTAAGAACGGCAATGCACTCCGCACCATGCACAATGCCGCTCTCCCCGCACGCTAGCTCGTTCACCGTCTGCCACGCCACGGCGGTGTGGAGGACGACAGACAAGCGCTGCATCTGCAGCCCGTGCCAGTTCTTGGTGGTCCATGTGACCTCGTCCAGGTGCTGAGCGTGCGAAAGTTTGTTGCTCAGCTGGTTCGCCGCCTCCCTCAGGGTGCTGCGAACCTCCTTTCCAAAGCCTCCGAAAGCCTCAAAATCAAACAAATGTAGATCGCAATCCTGCTCCCGCGCAAAGCGGTAATCGCCATCCAGCTCCTTGAGCTTTCCCTTGGGGGCATCCTCCTCCTCCCCCTCCTCCCCCCCTCCTCCTCGGCCTCCTCCTCCTCCCCCGCCACCGCCGCTGCCGTCGCTCCCGACGGAGACCACTTGCCGCGGCCTTTGACCAACTTGAGCAGCCCGGTCTCCGTGTTGCCAAAACGTACATAGGCCCCCTTCCAGCCGAGCTCTCCATCGCCGGCCGCGTCCTTGCCCTGGCTCGCAAGCGAGCTCGTGAGCTTCAAATCGGCAACAAGGCGCCTGTGCCCCCTGCCGATGTTTGCCGCCGCCACGTCAGGTTGTTTTGGATTACTGTAACTGAGGTGTGCAGTCGGCTCCATCTCGATGATCATGCCCCACGCCGAGCGGAGGCATTTGATCAAACGTTTGAGTAGGAATTTGTGTCTTGTAGCATGCTTTGACCGAGGGATAACCATCGCGGCGTCGCCAAGGACGTCGTGTAGCTGGCCGCTGGGTGCCCTCTTGCCTGCCTCCACCGCCTGGCAGGCGACATCAAGGGGGAGCCCAAGGCGACGCTGAACGGTGACGCGCATCGCCCAGGACTCCATCTTCATATCATCAAGCAAAAAGAATTTAAAAAAAAGAACCAAATAAATAAAGCAGACATCGACACAGGTGCGAACTGCAAAAAGAAGGAGAGGAAGGCATTTTCTTTCTTTCTTTCCTGGATGTGCGGCTGATGACTGCACTCCAAGTGCTCCAAGTGCACCCAGGCGCTCCCTCGCACGACCCTGGGCACGGGACTGGCGCGCACTAGAAAAGAAAACGCGCGCCGCGCTTGACATCGTCCCCCACGGCTTACTGGGCACACCGAATCGCACTCACTCAAACACACGCTGCTCGGCCGGTTCCATCCTACCCGTACGGGGGCTAAAAACCGTACGCCCACACGCGCACCTCACCATCAGCTCCACTCACCACATCCTCTGCGCACCTTGCTCAGAGATCAGTCCGAGAAGCACCAGAAGTTGCGCTTGTTGTCGCCCTTGGCGAGGAAGATTGCGGGTGTACCCCAAGAACAGCGCCGGGAAGACGAAGAAGGCCGAGATGCGGTCGGTCTCGTACGCGAGGAAGCGCGCCTTCCTGTCAAAGGTGTACGAGAACCCCAACGGCCCAAGAAGTGTATACTACGGCTACGGCTCCCGCGCCTCGATCTTCGTGGGCAGCAGTTGGTTCGGCAGGTCCTCTCCGTTGCCTGCCCCCCCCGCTTCGCCCTTGCCCCAAGTAAAGACGGCGCCGCTGGCGGTGATGGAGAGGCTGTGGCTGCGTCCAGCCGACACAGCGACGACGTGCTGGTCAGCCAAGGCCTCGACCTTCTTCGGCAGGAGCTGGCGCTGCTCGTCACCGTGGCCCAGCCGGCCATCGCCTCCAAGGCCCCAGCTCCAGACGGCGCCGTCGGCGGTGAGGGCGAGGCTGTGGTCGTCTCCAGCCGAGACAGCGACGATGCACTGCCCAGCAAAGGCCTCGACCTTCTTGGGCAGCCAGTGGTCCAGATAGCCGCCGTGGCCCAGCTGGCCGTAAAATCCATAGCCCCAGCTCCAGACGGCGCCGCCGGCTGAGAGTGCGAGGCTGTGGTCGCCTCCTGCCGAGACAGCGACGACGCGCTGGCCAGCAAAGGCCTCGACCTTCTTGGGCAGCCAGTGGTCCAGATAGCCGCCGTGGCCCAGCTTGCCAAAGAGTCCACCGCCCCAGCTCCAGACGGAGCCGTCGGCGGTGAGGGCGAGGCTGTGGTATCCTCCAGCCGACGCAGCGACGACACGCTGGCCAGCAAAGGCCTCGACCTTCTTCGGCTGCCACTGGGCCTGCTGGTCGCCGTGGCCCAGCTTGCCAAAGAGTCCACCGCCCCAGCTCCAGACGGCGTCAGCGGTCAGGGCGAGGCTGTGGCACATTCCAGCCGACACGCTCACGGCGCGCTCGCCACCCAGAAGGGGGAGGCGGGTCGGCGTGTTGAGCCGCGTCACGCCCTCGCCGTGACCGAGGAGGGCTGGCACGCCATCCGCCGAGCCGCACGACGAGAGCCGCCCCTCGCCGTCGATGAAGACGCTGTGATGAAGGCCTGCCGCAGCCCTCGCCGGCGGGTTGGACTCGCGCAGCAGCGCAGAATAGCACAGCCACCGCACGGCGCAGCTCTCGCCCTCTGGCTGCGCCGGAAGCTCGAAGCCGCGCTCCTGCGCCCACAAGCGGATGCCCTGCTCCGCGAGCGAGTGAAAGAGCAGCGAGACGGCCGCGACGCGAGCGATGTCGATGGGGCTGTCGCAGCGAGAGAGGGCGCGCTCGAGGAGCTCCCTGGGGAGATCGAGCAAGCGGACGGGCGGCGGCGCGTCTGACGAGGGGGCGGCGGTGGTGGCGGCGGCGAGGCGGCGCGAGCGGCGGCGCGGCGGTGTGGACATCGCGAAGAAAAGAATTTACCGTCTTCTTTGGGTTTCTGTTTTGTTTCTTTCTTTTTGGATGTGCGGCTGATGACTGCACTCCAAGTGCTCCAAGTGCACCAGGCGCTCCCTCGCACGACCCTGGGCACGGGACTGGCGCGCACTAGAAAAGAAAACGCGCGCCGCGCTTGACATCGTCCCCCACGCGCCACGGCTTACTGGGCACACCGAATCGCACTCACTCAAACACGCTGCTGGTTCCAATACATGTACTAGGAAGAGGTAGAGGAGGCCCCCAAGCGACAAAGTCGACAACAAAACTCTGTTGTGCGAGGCGTGAAGAGAGAGATTTTTAGCAATACCAAACAACTCTAACACTCACACGTCATTTGGGGCCTGGAGCCCTGTTCACGCGCGCGCGAGACGTGCAGACAGGGTTGCCAGGTGAGAGCGAATGTTTGTTTGGCGTGAACCGCGCCCCATTCGCTCTCACCCACAAAGTCGCGCGAAGAAGGAGAAGATCCCTCGTGCTCCCCCAATCAAACGGTGTCGCCGTTTGGAAATCGTTCCTGGGCAACTCCTTGACCCTCCAGTGTGTGCGCCGCCGCGTCATCATCGGCGCCCAGCCCAGGGGAGCCTGTTCACGACATCATGAACCCAGCTGAAGTCATTGCCTTTGAAGCGGATCGTCCTGCCTGCACCACGACAAGCACCTTCACCGCCCCATCAGTCCTCGTCACGAGTCACGGCGGATGCAGCCGCTCTACCGCCGAGCCGCCATCGACCCGCCGGACTTCGCGCTTGTAGCTGAGGCCGTGAGTGGAGATGGCAAGCCGACTCGTTCGCCGCCTCGGTCGCCGCCTCGTGTCGCATCAATCCCGGAGGACGCCGAGTTGATTGAGAGCAATGGTCCAAAGGCCTGGCTCACCGCCAGTGGATCGCCGTCGCCGTCGCCGGCTCGGGCCGCCAGCCACAGCAGGCTGTGCACGGAGGCAGGCATCCAGAGCTCTCTCGGGCACGCGGCAGCGCCGCCGTCGCCACGGACCGCCAGCTACACCAAGCTGTGCAAGGAGGCCCGCGCCGAGAGCGCTCGCGGGCACCACGCCAAGGCGGACGTGCTGCTGCGGCGCGCAATCGAGCTCCAGCAGGCCAACCCGCTTGCCTGGGGCGATTTGGCGGAGGTGCGCCTGGCTTCAGGCGACTGCTTGGGCGCCTTTGCGAGCTTTGTCGCGTGCGCGGAGCGCTGCCCGGTGGCGTCGCCGCCGTGGGCGGCGAGCGTGTGCGGGGCCTTCCAGGCTCGCAAGCAGGCGATGAAGGGGTGCGGAGAGTGCTCGCTCGGGACGTGTACGGCGTGCAAGCTCCGGCTACCGCCCCTGCCCGCGTGGATGGCGACGCCCGAGTGCCTGCGTCAAACCTCGGAGGATGTGGTGGAGGCCGATCCGGACTCGATTGTCGCTTGGCGCCTGCACAGCGAGGCTCACGCCGGCGTCGGCGACCATGCCACTGCCGAGAAGAGCTACTGCAAGGCGTTGCAGATCGTCTCGGACGGCTCGTTTGATCGCGTCCTGACAGAGCAGAGCAAGCCGCACCTCGCACAGCTCGACACGGAGGTGCTCTCGCGGGCAGGCTCGATCCGGTACCTCGACCTCTGCGAGCGAGGCCAGAGCCAGAGCCGGCGGAGCGGGTACGCGGCCGCTGCAGAGCTGTTCGAGCGGGCCACCGAGCTGGCGCCCGCCATCCCTCTGGGATGGGGCGACCTCGGCAACGCGCGGGCGGCACTCGGCGAGTTCAGCGCGGCGGCCGACGCCTTTGTCACTGCGGCGCAGTGCTGCGACCCGGAATCGCAGGTCAAAGTCGGCGGAGCGGTGGGTGCGCCTCAATCTCGCTCATAATCTCGCTCACCTCGGCTAATCTCGGCGAACATAGGCTTGGGCCAGCTGCGCCGCCAGCGCATACACGGCCCGCAAGCTGGCAGCGCCGTGCGGGAGCCAGGACGTGTTTTGCAAGTGCCACGCGTGTGCATCGCTGCCGCCGCTCCCGGACTGGCTGAGCTCGCCCGCTGCGCTTCGCGACACCGCCGACCGCGCCGCTGCTGCGGACTTGCGGCTCGGCGCCGCGCGACTCATGCAAGAGGACGCCGTGTCGATGGCGGGCGCCACGTCGGTATGGGTGGAAATCTGCGAGCGCGCGGCGCACCTCGTGCGGCGCATGCTGGGGGTGGTGTCGGGGTGATGGGCGAGACGTGGGCAGCCTCCTTTGTTTACTGAAATTTAAGAGATCGTAGAGTGTGGTGGTGCTGTGGTCGTCCGTCGACCACACCTCTGGGATAAATCCGTCAGTCGGGCTGCACTCTAGTCTAGACGTCCATAGATGGCGCGCGGCGCGGGAGGATAACTAGGGGAGAAAATGCGGAGATTCTAGCTCGCAGGGAGATGTGCTCAAGTAAAGGTTGGCGTGATGAGGGGGGGTGTTGGTGTTGTCTCGGCTCGTGTAAGTAGGGGTTGTGTGAGACTTGTGTCAGCGATGTGTGTTTTGCCTTTGAAAACCGAACAGTTTTTGAAGATAGTGTGGTCATGCTAATGCTCATGAAATCACCAGTCTTCAGAGAAGTCACCATGCCAGAGTGCAGAGAAGCTCAACCATGCCCTACGAATGCGAATCACAGCATGTGCACGTCGGCGCCGTCAAAGTCGAAATCGTCAACCTTAAACAGGAGGTCAGCAAAGTCCTCGCCGCCCGGCAGCGTCGCCAGCGAGATCGGGCTCAGCTCCGCCTCGTCCACGCCCACGGAGAAGACGCCGGAGGCGGCCAGGCCCAGACCCGAGTCCGCGGGAAGGGGGTCGGGCTTTGGGCCCTCATCGCGTGGCCTCTTTGGAGGGGGGCGCGCAGAGCAGTCGAGTCCGAGGCGCACGCAGCGCTCACAGGGACTGGCATCGTTGAGGTTGCACCGCACCTTGGCCCGCTTGCAATGCGCACAGGCGCGGCGCATCGGCTTGGCGGTCCCCTCGCACAGCAGGCCGAGCCGAGTGCAGCGAGGGCACGGTCGCTCGTCGGTGCATGCGGTCCTCGCCTTTTGACAGGCGGTGCACGCGTGTAGCTTGGGCCGCTGGTCGCCGCTCGAGGCTGGGCTCGACCTCTTGGTCGGCGTCTTGAGCAGCCGCGCCACCGCCGGCACCACCGCGACAGGAGGCGAATCGCAGGTGGCGCGAGCCACTGTTGGCGGCTTGTCTGGATCCGACGCTGGGGGCTTGTTGGTCGCCTTGTCAAGGTCCAACTCCTGGAGTGGGTCGCCCTCCGTGACGGCCACCTTGTTGATGCTCTCTATCCCGTCGCGAAGCCGCCGGAACTGGTCGCAGCTGCGGCGCAGGTGCGAGTCGGCATCCACCTCGCACTTTGCGCGAAGCTGCAGCTCGCCAGCCTCCGCCACAGACTCGACGAGTTCGGAGCAGCTGGCCGTGTTGCTCTGAAGGAGCGCGAGCAGCACTGGGTGCACCATTGCGAGGCGACTGCAGGTGTCATCGGATCTCTTGCGCACCTCCCCCAGCACCATTAGTAGCGTGCTCTGCACCGCAGCCTCGCTCTCTTCGACCGGTGGCCTGGCGCTCACAATCTCGACCAGAACCTCGTGATCGGCTGCCAGGCAGGTGGCCGCGAGAGCTGCAGTCGTGACCGGCAGAACCCAGCTGCCGTCGCCCGCGCGGAGCTTCTCCAGGGCGAGAGCTCGGACCCTCACCTGCGCCATCGCCGTGAGGCCTTGCCCTGCTGCCAAGGGAGCAAGCATGCCGGCCAGCATCGCGACCAGCAGTGCCTGCTCGTACGCTTCCTCTCCGAGCCACTCCTTGAGCGGCCCGGGCGTCGTTGAGATGCAGACGAGCCTGAGGAAGCTTCTCAGCTGCATGCTCGACACTGCATCGTGGCATGCATTGTGGAGGCGCGAGAGCGCATTCTCGACCTCCTGGAAGCCGTCGGCTCTACTGCACTCCACGTTGATCGCCGCCCGGCCGACCGGCTCGCCGTACAGCGAGACTCCAAACTCATAGCGGCGGACGGCTGGCATCCTGGACTCAAGGAGAGAGGCACTGCCAGGGAACGCGCCACGGGAGGCGGATCATTTGGTAGAGTGCACCGGACGAAACTAACCCCCCTCGCGCCTCCTTTGGATCTGCCGACCCCCCTTGCCGCGATGAAGGATGAGCCGTTATTTCGGGTTTCTTTTTTAGAGTTGGAGTTGAAAGATTCTAAGGGTTCAAATTTCAACGAAATTCACTTGGCTCACCTAAACGAAATTCACTTGGCTCACCTAAACTTGGCGAGCAGAGAAATGAAAATCTCAAAAGGAAGAGAAAATAGGAAGAGCTATATACCTAACTACATACACTGGAAAACCGAGCAGACTGCTCTGGAACCCACCACGTGTCGAGACGGTCCAACTCTAAGGACGGACGCTGAGAAATGGTGGAGTCGAGGATGGGCGTCGTGGCCAAGGCGAAGGGGAAGGAAGCGTGCGTCGACGCTTTCCGGCAGCACATCGCGGAGGTAACCGCGGGCCAGCGCGAGGCGTCGGCGGGCGGCGCGGGCGGCGCCTGCTCGGGCCGAAGAAGCCATGACAGCAGATCTCCAAGGCGATGAGGCGACGCTGCTGGCGTTATATGAGAAGGCGTTCGCTAACGAGAGTACGGGCTTCACGCTGCTGCACACCGCCGCCGGCAAGGGCCACGATCGTGTGGTCGAGCTGCTACTGCAGCGCGGCACGGAGGTCGACCTGCAAGACAACACCGGCTGCACGGCGCTCAGGGTCGCCGCCGACAAGTGCCACTCGCGTGTGGTCGAGCCTAGTGCAGCACGGCGCAGAGGTCAACCTTGAGATGACATCACCGCACTGAAGGCCTCTGTCATGAGAGGCCACGATCACCGGCACGCTGCCAAAAAAGAGGCCATGAGCAACGCTACCTCGCTATCGTGCAACGTCTATTACAAGCGGGAGCAGATACGAAGGCGCGCTCTGCGCGCGGTCTGACGGCGCTGCAGATTGTCCAAGAGGAGAAGGCTAAGCTGGCTACTGTCGACGCCGCCTGGGCTCTCTCGGTCTCGCCGTGTCATCGTGATCGCGTCTCGGCAGGGTCCTGGGCGAGGATTCTGCTGCATTTTTATCTCTGTCAACGGCTGGTTTCTTCTTTCCTTTTTCGGCATTCCCAAAAAACGACAATGTATCGACACAGTCATAGGCCGATAGGGAGTCAATATAGAACGAACAGAGGATTTCACTCAGAGTCCCACCCAAAGACATGCTCGAAGAGTCCCATGCAACTTGCAAGCTAGCAAGCAGCCCGCCAGCCGCGCGCAGGGCGCAGCAGCCACCGCAGCAGCTCCTACACTCTGCGGACTCTGGTGTCTGAGAGATGCTCGCACTCTGCTCTCAGACACCAATGGCATTGGCTATGCCACTTTCCCGCGCCATCGCCCACCCTTCGTACGGCTGTGTGAGCAGCTCCCGGCAACCTCGAGGGACTGCACGCGCGCCCGCGCGGCGCGGGGCCCAGCCCACAGCCACGATCGTTCACAAGAGAACGCACCCCAGAGTACGAGAGACCCTTCCCCATGGCTACCACTGCGCCAGCTGTCCTTGCGCGCGGGCTAGGCCGCCTCCCGCGCCCTGGCCCTCGCAGCGGCAACTGACGCGCGCCTCGCCTTGGCTGCGGCGAGCGCCGCCTCTGCCGCCGCCGCCGCCGCTGCCGCCTCTGCCGCCGCCGCCTCTGCCGCCGCTACTGCCGCCTCCTCCGCCTCCTCCTCCGCTGCGGCAGCCTCCTCCTCCTCTGCCGCTGCCACGGCCGCAGCCTCCGCCTCAGCCTGCCGGCGCGCCTCCGCTGCCGCCTCCGCTGCCGCCTCCTCGCCCTCCTCCTCGCCCTCCTCCTCGCCCTCCTCCTCGGCCGCCTCCGCCGTCTCCTCGCCGCCCTCCTCCTCGCTCGCCTCGCCTGCCGCCTCTCCCAGCGCCTCCGCCAATCCCTCGACCGACGTCTCCGGCGTGATGCCGAACCGGATCCTGTCCTCGTGGAGCTCCGCGAGAAGCTTGAGCAGCCCCTCCTTGTCCAAAGGCGCGGGCTTGGCTGCGGCTGCCTCTGCCGGCGCCTCGGACTCCTGCGATGGCCCAGCGCCGCCGCTCCCGCCGCCCTTCTTCTTCTTCTTGCCCTTCTTGCCCTTGGCGCGCTTCTCAGCCTCGACCTCCGCCAGCAGCTCGTCGGCGTGCCTCGCCGCCTCCGCCTCCGCCGCCGCCCTCGCCGCCGCCCTCTCCGCCGCCCCCGCAGCCCACGCCGCCTCCTTCGTCGCCTTCTCGGCCGCCGCCTTGGCCGCCGCATGCTCCTCGAGGGCGGACACGCACTCGGCGTGGCCCTTCTCCTTGGCAATCTGCAGCGCTGTCTCACCGTCCACGTCGCGCAGCGTCATGTCAGCGCCCGCCCGCAGCAAGCGAAGCACGACGGCGGGGCAACCCCCGAGGGCGGCGAACATCAGAGCGGTGTCGCCGTCGTTGTCCTGTATGTCGATCTCTGCGCCGTGCCGGATCAGCGTGTCGACAACCCGCTTGTGGCCTTTGTAGGCGGCGTCCATCAGCGGAGTGACGCAGGTATTGTTTTGCTGATTCACCTCCGCGCCGTGCCGCAATGCCAGCTCGACCAGCTTCTTGTGGCCGTTCACAGCGGCGAGACCCAGCGCATAGCTGATGCCGTCGCTGGTCAGCAATGAGGTATCTGCACCGCGCCGCAGAAGCGCCTCGGCCAGCCCCGCGTGGCCATGGGACATTGCGACCATCAGCAGCGTCATGCCGCTCGAAGAGGAGCCGTCACCAAAGGTGCACTCGAACGTCGCGTCGACCCGCCCGCCGCCGTCGAGCCACGCCAGCACCGGCTCTTCATCGCCATCCCCAGCCGCGTCCATGACCTCCGTTGGCACCGCCTCGCTGCCCGGCGCGGCCTCCGCACCGCCCTCGCCGCCCGAAGCAGAGGCCGCAGCACTGGTGCCCGCCTCCGCCTCGCCTGCGGGTGCGCCGCTCGCCCCTGCGCCACCCGCCTCGACCGCCGCCGCCTTGCTCCGAGCTGCCGTCACCTCCCCGAGATACGTCCTGACGGCCTCGACGCACTCGGCGTGGCCCTCCTCCTTGGCGATCTGTAGCGCCGTCTTGCCCGCTGCAACGCGCATTTTCATGTCTGCGCCCGCCCGCAGCAAGCGGAGCACAACGGCGGGATGGCCGTAGAGGGCGGCCAGCATCAGCGCGGTACCGCCGAGACTGTTATGCAGGTTGATCCCTGCGCCGTGCCGCAGCAGCATCTCGGCCACGCGCTCGTGGCCTTTGGCGGCGGCGACCATCAGCGCCGTACCGCCTCCGCTGTCGCGCGCGTCCGCCTCCGCGTCGCGCTTCAGCAGCAGTTCGACAATCTCTTTGTGACCGTGTTCGGCGGCGATCAGCAGGAGCGTACAGCCACTCACACCGCTATGCACGCACGTCGCGTCAACCCGCCCATCCCCGGCGAGCCACGTCTGCACCACGCCGACCTTGCCGTTCTCCGCCGCCGCCTCGATCCTTTTCGGCAGCGAGAGCGCCGCAGCAGTAGCCGCCGTTGAAGCGTGCCCGCGCCGGGACGCGGCCGAGCCAGCCTTCGTTCGGCCGGGCATGCAAACGGGCGGGGTTGCGGATGCTGAGCGGCTCCTCCCAGCTTCGAAAAAAGAATTCGCGGAGGTTTTGCCGGCCTCTTCCCGCTCCCCACCTGGAGAGGTTGACACCGCACCGCACCCGGTCTCTCCTGCTCGAGCTCGGCTCAGCGCGCGGTCGACATCGTCCTCTCCTCGGTCGAGGAGCGAGGTACGAGCTCGGCGACATGAAGACTCCTCAGCCCTCCCTCGGTGCTCGGAGAAAAGGGGCCGCCCGAGAATGAGATTTTCAGCGTATTGTTGCCCTTGCCGCCCGTCGGCCTTACCTCCGGCATGCAAACCTCAGTTACGACCATAAGTGAGTGTGAGTGTGTCGAGTCACACACACACACACGACCATAAGCTACCCTCCCCGCTCCCCCCCCCGCGGAGAGTGAGAGCCCCCAGCCCCGCCGCGCCCCGCCGCTCCGCGACCGTGGACGAGTGAGCACGGCACCCCCAACGGCACACCCACACGCAGGAGGTGGCGAGCACGAGAGATAAGGTAAGGTAAGGTAAGGTAAACGTCTCCACACACACAAAGTGGTGGGGCAAGGGGGGGCGACCCTCGCATCTCCACGCCCGGGACACGGGCAGGAGCCCCACGGCATTCAAAGTGCAAGCACCGGCCCGGTGCCGTGGGTGAGCAACCTGCACCCCACTCCTACTCCTATAACACAACCCCCACAGCGTGGTCGTCTACGTGTTCAGAAACACCAAGCAGCGAGGCGAGGGTGAAGGGGTAAGGGGCTGTGTGGGGCTATCTGTGACCATCTAGCCTGGGGGGTAGCAGGAGGGGGGGGCAGAGGGTAAGATATGGGTGAGGCCAGCTACAAGTCGGACGCCCTCCCGTCGTCGGAATAATCCTCGGAGCGGTCAGCGTCCTCGTCGTCGTCCTCGGTCTGCATCGCGTCGCCAGCCGTGAACCTGAACACGGCGTCGGCCGGCGCCGAGGCGCCGGCGGCCGTCATCAGGTGCATGACTATGCGGTCGCGGTATGCCGCATCGATCTCTCCGTGCTCGGCCAGCTCTTTCGCGAGCCAGTCCGAGGCGACGGTCGTCGCCACGGTCCCCTGGGGAACTGTGGCGTACACCTTGCTGGGGCCGCGTCGATACCCGTCGTCCCTCTCCGGGGGCAGCGAGTATTCGACCCCCATTTTGGACCCGGCCTGGCTGCGCGCCTGCGCAGCTGCAGACCGCAGCCCGGCCATCACGTACTGGATGCACAGCACGAGAGATCACTTTTTATATGCACGTTGAGCATGGTGGTGAATTAGTGTAAGAATAGTGAATAGTGTGCATGCGCGCCCCACACAAGTACAGCCCCAGCAAACGTATAACCCGTGTTACACAACCGAATGCGCGGCAAAATCGAACCCGCGTGCCCCTCCAGAAACAGTGCATGGTCTATGCAACGGCATCGCTTTGGGCCGCATCCGCAGCCTCCCTGGCAGCGTCCGCCCTGGCCCTCGCCGCGCCCGCAGCAATTCCCGTGGCCTCTGCAGCGCCTATCGCCGCCTGAAGCTCCGTCTCGCGCCCCTCAAGCGCCGAGTCGGCCTCGCTCAGCGCCGCCTTGGCCTCGCTCAGCGCCGCCTTGGCCTCCTCCAGCGCCGCCATGACCTTCTCCACTGCTGCTGTCGCTGCCACCTGCGCCGCCCTGGCCTCCGCCCGATCCACCTCGGCATCCGCCAGCGCCGCCACGGCCGCCGCCGCCTCCTCCTCCTCCGCCTCTGCCTCCTCCTCCGCCTCGTCCGCCGCAGCGTCCAAGCGCGCCGCCTTAGCCACCTCTGCCGACGCCGCTGCCTGGCTCGCCGCCGTGATGCCGAACCGCATCCGCTCCTCGTGACACTTCTCGAGAAGCCTCATCATTCTCTCCTCCTCGGCCTTCTTCGCGGCCTCAGCTGCCTCCGACGGCGCCTCGGCACCCTCCTCCGCCTCCTGCGACGGCCCAGCCGCGCCCGCCCCTCCGCCCTTCTTCTTCTTCTTGCCCTTCTTGCCCTTGGCGCGCTTCTCAGCCTCGACCTCCGCCAGCAGCTCGTCGGCGTGCCGCGCCGCCTCCTTCTCCTCCGCCGCCCTCGCCGCCTCCCTCTCCGCCGCCCCCGCAGCCCACGCCGCCTCCTTCGTCGCCTTCTCGGCCGCCGCCTTGGCCGCCGCATGCTCCTCGAGGGCGCGCACGCACTCGGCGTGGCCCTTCTCCTTGGCAATCTGCAGCGCTGTCTCACCGACCACGTTGCGCAGCTTCATGTCTGCGCCCGCCCGCAGCAAGCGAAGCACCACGGTGGGATGGTTGCCGAGGGCGGCGGCCATCAGAGCGGTGTGGCCGTCGCTGTTCTGCATGTCGATCTCTGCGCCGAGCCGGATCAGCGTGTCGACAACCCGCAAGCCGCCTCCGTAGGCGGCGGCCATCAGCGCTGTGCTGCCAATCTTGTTTCGCTGATTGATCTCCGCGCCGTGCCGCAGTGCCAGCTCGACCAGCTTCTTGTGGCCGTTCACTGCGGCGAGACCCAACGCGGTATTGCCGTTGCTGTTCTGCAACGAGACATCTGCACCGCGCCGCAGAAGCGCCTCGGCCAGCGCCGCGTGGCCATTGCCCACTGCGACCATCAGCAGTGTTATTCCGCTCTCACGAGAGCCGTCACCAAAGGTGTGCTCGAACGTCGCGTCGGCCCGCCCGCCGCCGTCGAGCCACGCCAGCACCGGAAATCCGTCGCCTCGCCGAGCCGCTAGCACGACCTCCTCTGGCGCCGCCTCGCTGCCCGGCGCGGTCTCTGTGCCGCCCTCGCCGATCAAAGCAGAGGCCACGGCACTGGCGCCCGCCGCCGCCTCGCCTGCGGGTGCGCCGTTCGCCCCTGCGCCGCCCGCCTCGGCCGACGCCGCCTTGCTCCTAGCTGTCGCCACCTCCCCGAGATACGTCCTGAAAGCCTCGACGCACTCGGCGTGGCCGTTCTCCTTGGCGATCTGCACCGCCGTCTCACCGTACACGTCGCGCAGCGTCATGTCAGCGCCCGCCCGCAGCAAGCGGAGCACGACGGCGGGGTGTCCGCCGTCGGCGGCGAGCATCAGAGCGGTGCCGCCCTTGTTGGCCTGCAGGTTGATCTCTGCGCCGAGCCGGATCAGCGTGTCGACAATCCGCTCGTGGCCTTTGTAGGCGGCGTCCATCAGCGCTGTGCTGCCAATCTTATTTTGCTTATTGACCTCCGCGCCGTGCCGCAAAGCCAGCTCGACCAGCTTCTCGCGGCCGTTCGCGGCGGCGAGGCTCAGCGCGGTGCCACCGTTGCTGTGCTGCAAGGAGACATCTGCGCCACGCCGCAGAAGCGCCTCGGCCAGCTCCTCGTGGCCATTGGCCATTGCGAGCATCAGCAGCGTCATGCCGCTCGCACGAGAGCCGTCACCAAAGGTGTACTCGAGCCTCGCGTCGACCCACCCGCCGCCGTCGAACCACGCCAGCACCGTTCCCGCTTGGCCATCCTTGGCGGCCTTCCGAATGCTTGCAGGGACGTCGCCGACGCCCTCCGCGGACGGCGGAGTGCGGCGCGCCATTTCGCAAGAATTCCTGAGCAAACCTGTGCCAGCCGCGGGTGCGGTTTTTCTCTTTTCGGTGTGTTGCGGCGCAGCCCCCCACGACCACGCATGATCTGGATCGAGTCGTACCCTCTCGCCATGGCTCGCGTACAGTACAGCTTGTCGCCGGGGTGGTAGCAGCCAAAGTTGCTTCGCGAGCACGGGATGCCAAGCGCTGTGTGTATGGGCGTCGCGCCGCGTGCTGACCACGAGGGTGCGCCCGACATTGACAAAGACACCCGAGCCGCGAGCGCGGAAGAGCCAGCAACCATATGGGAAAAGGTCGGCGCTCGAGTTGGTCGCCTCCCCGGTGCCAAGGCCCAAGCCGTAGTCGCCTCGGTGGACGCCCTCTCCGGTGTCGTCGGGAAAGCCGCGGGAAGCTCCCTCGGCAAACGGTGTGCCATCAGGATAGCGGAGGCCGAGGCAGTCGGCCGCCACTCGCGTCACTTCGACCCAGCTGTGGTTGCGGCGCGCGGCGCGCGATGGGTGCATCAGCATCCCCAGAACCTGCCTGCCGACGTTCCGCTCTGGTGATGCGACGATGCGCAAAGGAAGAAGTTGAAGAACGCGTTGAAGAACGCGAAGGTGGCAGCGAAGGTGGCAGAGAAAAAGAGAAGTCGCGCTCGAGGTCAACACTCGGCGCGAGCAGCGCGAGCGGGAGGCGGCGGCGGCGGCGCGAAAGCGTGAGCAAGAAGCTAGCAGGCGTGCGAGAAGCAGAGACGAGAGAGCGAGCGGCGCCCGGCGGACGCGGCGGCCGGCGCGCCGAGCACCCGAGCTGGCGGCTGTGGCGCGCCTGGGCCCGACTTCCCTGGCGGCTGGCGCGAACCAAGCTCGTCGAAAGATTTTCAACGTGTCATCATGTATCCTCGCTTTTCTTCTCGCACGGCGCGCACGCGAGTGCTCAATGAAAGCAAAAAAGCACAATCGACTGCAGGCTCCGGCTCAGGTCGTGGGGCATAGCTCGGGTGTAAACGGGGTCTGGGGAGGAAGCCCCAGCGGCCCGCCGCAGGCGCCGATTTTTTGGCGTTTTTTTCTCAAAATTGAGGGATTTCTCATCTAAATTCTCATCCAAAATCGAGCTCGCTATGAGCTCTCTAACTGCACAGCATCTCCTCGTTGAGCCTAGCGGCGCCCGTATCGCCCACGCCCACATTCCTTTTTCTTGCCCTTGGCCCTTGCTGCACTCAGCCGCTCAACCTCCGCCAGTCTCTCCTTGCTCGTTGCTGGCGCTGCCGCCCCCAGTACTGCGATTGCAGCTCTTTGGCATGCCGCGCCGCCTCCATCTGCTGCCGCTTCCTCTAAAGCAGCGCCGCCACTAAGCGGCGCAACCAAGTTCTCGCACTGTTTGCATGAGCATGTGTCCTGCTGGTGCGGCGCACAATCCGCGCGCGGCGAGTGAGAGTAGAAGACTGACAGCAGGAGCTGCAGGAGCTGCAGGAGCTGCGCAGATCGGATGGGTGGTGACGCCGTCGAGCGACGGCGCAAAGACCAATCACCACCGCTGAGAGCCGCGACACGAGGCTGCTGGCAGCTGCACCTGTGAGAGCCGCGACACGAGGTTGCTGGCAGCTGGCAGAGCGAATCGCGATTCCGGCGGCCGCCGTCAGCCCGCCGACACCGACGGCCTGTCTGAGGTCAAACTCCCACCGCACGTCGGACCAGTCGTGCGTCAGCCATGGCGACGAGACGTCTGTGTGCAGACAGCCCGCCACCCGGGCGATAGAACATGCCAGCTGGGCTCTTCCAGGGCTCTCGTGGCCCGTGGCGCGTGCCCAGTGGAATAGGGCGGGCTGCGGCGGGCGCAATAACTATTCACAGCTAATGAAAACTATAAAAACGCGCGGCTTCATCAAAGTTTGAGGTGGCTTCGTCCTCAGCACCATCAAGACAGCTCTATTCACACCCTGTTTGGTTTGAAGCCACTCGGGGATGCCCGTTTACACCCAACCGACGAGTCGCTGGGCCCTCTGACCTGAGCCGGAGCCGCACCACCTTGCTTGTGCTCTGCCTAGTGTTACTGGACAATAATCGCAGACTCTGAGGCAGTGGGCCTGCCCGTCGCCGCGCGGTACTTTGCCGCCACCATCGCGAACGCCGGCTTCGGCCGCCGCCAGAAGTCGAGCACGCCCTTGTGGTTGGTGCCTAAACAAAAAAGAAGGCGGTGAACAAGCAAAAGGAAAGGCGAGCACGCCCGTGCGGTTTGTACCTCCGGGCCGGAAGGTTGGCGCGATGGCGGTGCAATTTGGCGGGCCGAGCCGGCGGAGCTCCTCGAAGGTGGTGGGCGGCGGGTGGTCGTAGGTGCAGTGGGTGCCGTTCTCCTACGAAAGTCAGCCATGGAGACGAATAAGCGCGTGACTAGGTGGGTCTTGTGTGCGGAGGGCGCCGCTCTCTCCTGCCCCGGCCGGCCGTGGCACGGCCAGGTGCTGCCGCAATTGTCGACCTTGAAGTCATAAAAGTGCCACAAGCTGATGCCCGAGATGCGGTCGTTGGCCAACGCCACGTCGACGTCCTCGCCGATCACCGCCGACTGGTACTGCAGCGTCCACTTTGACGCGGTCGCGTTGTCGCCCCACTCGTACACGCCCCCGGCGCCTATCCGCGGACCACTCATCGCTGGGCATGCGTCCGTCGGAGCTCACTCGCACACGAGGGAGGGCGGCGCCCGTCTCTGAGATCATCATCGGCTTGCCGACGGTGTGGCGGCCGCTCGCCGTCGTCCCCTCGGCCACCTGCTCACAGTTGGTCTCTTCTCGCGCTCACCCTTCCTTCTCCCGCGACTCCGCGCTCGCCCCCCCTCGGCCACCGCCGCCGCGAAGCCGTCCCACACACGCGGCGACTTGGACGAGTACCAGCCGGGGTAGTCGTTGAAGGCGACGAGGCTCGCGTGCTCGTAGCAGGCTCCGCTCCTGTTGATGGACAGTCAATCATCAGCCCACGCATCGGGGAGAGCTCGCGTGCTCGCAGCAAGGCTCCGCTCGTCTTGTGGTCGTCCGCCCACGTCGTGAAGCGCGTGGGGTCGCGAGCCTGTGCACAGCTGGACGCGTGAAGAGCAGTGCTGCCCGGCCTCGTCGAGGGGCGGGAGGGGGGGATCGCGGGCCCGTGCGAGCGCGCTGCAGGCGCCATAGGCAGGGCATGCCTGGCGAGGAGGAGGGGCAGCTGCACTCAGCCCCCCCGAGGAGTCGCCTGGCGCCGTGGGGGCGGGGGGCTCGCCTCCGGGTGGTCGCTAGGGCCCTCGTTGAACCAGCCCCACGCGAAGACCGCCGCGTGGTTGATGGCGTTGTCGATCATCTCGGAGAGCTGCCGCTTCTGGTGCACCATGAAGAAGGCCCAGTCCTTCGTGTTTGCGACGCTGACCGCAGGGCCGAGCGTCTCGGACCAGAAGAGGATCCCAGCCTCGTCGAGCCGGTCCAGCCAGCGGGGGTCGTGCGGATAGTGCGCTCCCCGCACGAGGTTGGCGCCGCCCTAGCAGGCAGAAGACCGCAATACCGCAATACCACCATGTGGAATGCTATAAGAAAGTGGTAATGTCTCAGTGACGGAGCAGCGAGATGGCTTGGCTCAATGTGTGTTAGAATATCTCACCTTGCGGAGCAGCGCGATGTCGGCGTCGAGCTGCTCGTCGGTCGGGCTCGCCTATACCACACGCAGAGCCGCGTGAGCAGCGCCTCTTCGCAGCCGCGCCGAGCCGCGCGTCGGTCGGGCTCGCCGCCGTCACCGGCCACTGTGTGTGGTGGTTCCAGCCAACCAGCTTGGCAACCTCTCCGTTGAGGGTGAGTCGCGCCGTCGCCTGGCCCATCCCCACAGCGCACGGTCAACGAGTCCAGATGAGCCACTCCTTCTCTCGTGCAAACTCCGCGCCTTGTCCACGCCAAAGCGGCGGAGCCCGAACCTCTCGGTCACCGACTGCCCGCCCATGCTCACCTACAGGGAGGCCTCCTGGAAAGGTCCCGCAACGGCCCCGGAAGAGCCACGCAGCTGCCCGCCGCGGGGTGGCCGTCAGCGTGTGCAGGTGCGGCGCATCCGGAGACCACGGCTTCGCGTCCGGCACCGGCACGCCTTCAAGACGCACCTGCAGCGGCACTCGTCCTTGATTCCCCTGCCCTCGCCCTTCAGGCCGCGGCAATTCCCTCCGCCCCGCACCGTCCCGCCCGACGCGGTGCCGTTCCTCGCCACCGCCTCCCCGCCGTCGAAGGCGAGGGAGAAGTAGTAGACGGGCGCGGGGCATGCGGCACCTGCAGGAAGGCTCCAGGAAAGGTGATCGACGGTTCCGGGAGAAGAAGCAGACGGCAGCAGGGGCACTGCGCGCCGCCGCCGCACCGAGGCGACCCACCTACCGCCCCTCCAGACTCTGCCTTCCCGCCGAGCTCTCCCTGCCCTTTGAGCTCCTCCCGCCCGCCCTCGACGCCGCTCAGCACGAGGGAGATGTCCACCGCCGCCGGCGCGCCGTCGGGCTGCTCTGCCTCCACCGCCGACGAGGACGGCACCACATGCGCCCGCCACAGGAGCGGTCCCGCCTCCGGCACAGCGTGCAGCTCGACCGAGCGCGTGATCCCGCCGTAGTGCCAAAAGTCGCCCCCCGTGTGCATCGGCGCCGTGGTCGCGTTGAAGCGGTTGTCTGCGAGCGAGCGGCTTTTATGAGGCGCCTCCGGGAGCTGGCGCGGAGGGCGCGCGGCGACGCGCCGGCGGCGTGTGGGGCGGTGCTCTGCGGCAGGGCCAGCGGGATGCGCCAGCGAGGGGAGGGAGGGGTGTCGGGCGGCTGAAGGGCAGAGGTGATGCAAGCGCGCCCGCGAGGACGAAGAGCTCGTTCTCTCCGCCGCCGTCGGGAGAGAGGGCGTCTGCAGGCACGTCGAGGGCAAAGGCGACGTAGCCGCCGGCGAGGTGGTCGCCCACCTCCCTCCCGTTGACCCACACGCGGCAGTAGAAGGAGCACGACTGGAACTGCAGCCGCACGGCCGAGCCGGCCGCGGGGCTGCGGAAGGAGGTCCGAAAGAGGCCGACGCCGCGAGGGCCGAGGTAGCCGCCCGCGCCGCCGGCGACGACGTCCATGCAGGAGGGGACGCTCGTCATGTTTGGCGTCGCGCCGTCCGACGGCCTGAAGCTGGCATTCATCGAGTCGAAGCCCGAATCCCAGCCGTCGATGAAGCCGTAGCGCCAAGCGCCGTCGAGGAGGCGGACCTGGCGGCTGCCGCCATACTTTGGCCAGTAACGAGGCGCGTCGGGCGCCCACGCGGCGGCGGAGTGGATGAGTAGGATGGGCAGAGTGGGCGTCATCATTTCGCGTGCCGCGGGTTTCTTTTTATCTCGGCTGGAGGCAGAACCGCACCTCAGAAGGCGACCCGGGCTCATCGCGGTGAGCGCGAGCCTGTCGTCTTGCGTCCGGTATATGCGCGCGAGTCAATTTACCCCCAAAAGAGCAGCAAAAGAGCCAGATCAGCTGATTTCCCCCCCTCGTTCTGTGTTAACAGCTGGACACGAAGGGTTGCTTTTGACAGCGCGTGCAAAAGGATGGGAATTAGCAGGGGAGCAAAATGATCAGCACTCAGCCTTCCCTCCCCCTCCCGGATGGAAGTACTACCTGAGCTCGACCGTGCTTAACTTCGCTGTTCAGATGGGAAGCGGTGACCCACGGTGATATGGCCGATCATGAAGGAAATGGGGGGAGGGTGAGATATGAAATCAGGGACATGTCACGAGAGATGTGAAATGAGGGACATGTCAGTGTTTTGTAGTGACTTGAAATTTTTGTAGTACGGGAGAGAAGAAGGATATCAAAAGAAATTATCAGAAGTTTCACGAAGTTTAAAAGATGCATCTTTGAGAGAACATGTAAAATATTTGTAACTCTGCGTCAAACTTCCACTGGTTGTCGGCAAATGCTGCGGAGTGTGCGGGCCGAGGTTTATCCACAACAGTGCTCGGCAGAATGGCGTGAGAATGGCAGGCGCGGAGAGTCTGTCGAGACTCGGGTGCGGATCAACGCAATTTGACTGCGTGCAGGCGCAGCGGCGCAATGCACCGCAGACCCAATACGCCGCTGCTTGCCCTCGCGTGTACGATAAGACTAGGTCATCAGAGTCGAGCATGCGGTCGATGACGTGCTGCGCGAGGCATTTGACGAGGCTCGCCAACTGCTGTCCCCACCAGTGGCTCACGAAGTACAGCGGAGCTTGCCGGCCCTCGGCAATGAGCTCGACGAAGCTTGTGTGCTTGGCGCGTGTTGCTGGCTTGATCACAAAGCGTGACGCGTCATACATTGTCACACTCTCTGTGCTCAGGCGCACGCCCACGAAGTTGGCCCAGGACTCGTTCGGCACGCCGTCATCGATGGTGAGAGCACTTATGGAGTGGCGCACATTGATGTTGTCCGCTTCATGCGATTCCTGGGGCTGCTGTTGAACGGTCAGCTCGCCTCGGCACGCAGCATGTACGAGGCCGACCTCGCGTGCGCACCCGACCCGCGGGATATTGCGGCCGAGATGCGCCGGGAACTCGCACGCGGCAGAGCGGCCGAGGATGTGATTCAGCAAACGCGACAGCGGCTTCGATCGGCCGGTGTGCCGTGGGCGTGAGTACAGGTCGGCACGTCGGCACCCTCGCGTGTGTGTACATACCTGATTATATCAAATATCATATGTTTGACATATGACAAGTCGTCAGACTTGCTGGACAAGCAAATTCAGCCTGATTCGCGGCTTCTCAGGCGCACGGGGCGGCGAGCGCGTCATTCACGCCGCCGCAGCCGAGATAGTGTCCCTTGGGTGCCACCCATGGTTCGGCCGGGTGGCCTCCAAGGACAACATTTCCGACGGGCCCTCGCGACGGGGCCCGCATGGTGGAATCGACGATCGCGAACTACGGCGGCTCGGCGGAATCGAGCGCCGCCTGGTTCTGCCCACATTGGAGCAACTCTCGAGAGCAAGCGACAGCTTCAACAATGTGGACTAGCAAGAGTGGAGAGGGACCTTTGACAGTGGCCTGACCCAAATCCAATGCGGGAGCCCACGTACCCAGTTGGCGCACCGCGCCGCGACCGAGATGTGGAGGGGGCGGCGGCATCGGTGGATAGCGATGCCGCCGTCGCCACGCATCCGAGTCTGCATCCCCCATGTAACCCTCTATACCACACTTCCCTTCTGTAACGGATAGCCGTGTGGCGAGGACGCCCGGCGCGAGGACCCGCCCGGGCCGTACCTCTGCAGAACGGTGGGCTAGGCATCAAGAGCCCAGGAGTTTTAATGCGATAGTGCTATGCAAACGATGCTCGATCCGTCGTCAGGGCCATGAGGAGACCTTGGGGTCCCGGTGCTTCTGGTGGGGTCCTGGCGTCCTGGAGGCTGCAGCGTGGAGCGCGCGATTTGTGGACCAGAACATTTGGCCATCCCGCTTGCCCGCGGCGCGCGCGTGCAATCTGTCGCCGGTGCCACGCGCTGTTTGCGCAACCGCATTTCCCGAGCCCGATGCTCTTCATCTCACTCGCGGCCACGGCTGATTGCGGCCCGTTGCCCGAAGGCTCTCTGAACGTCCAAGGCATCCAACCTGTTCGCGAAATTCCGCCGTACCAGATGGACGTCCTTGTGCCTCGTTCGCACAAGGACGGCGTCAGCGGCGCCATCGCCTCCACCAAGATATGGGACAGCAAGAAGACGGCGCTGCTTGCCGCCGCGCTGCCGCAGCTGCACGCACAGCTCGGGCGCAAGCCGGTCCTGCTTGACATCGGCGCCAACCTGGGCTGGTTCACCATGCTCGCCGCCGCCACCGACCACGCGCATGTCATCGCCATTGAGGCCAGCGACAGAAATTCCGCCAGACTGGAGCGCTCTCTCTGCCTGAACGCACACTTCGCGAAGCGTGTCACGCTGCACAAGGTGGGGGTTGGCGCGACGACGGCGGACTGCGCGCTCGTCGCCCGCCGAAGAAACATCGACTCCCCGTCCGCCGTCTGCGGACAGGGCGACCCAGCGCATTTCATGAACTCATGGGGATGGTCACGCGGCTTCAGGGACTACGTCGTGACGGGCACGATGCACATGACGCGCATCGATGACCTCGTCACTTCCCGGGTGGACGTGATCAAGATCGATGTGGAGGGACACGAGCTGGAGGTAACCAAGGGCTGGTCGGCCCTCTTTGATATCTCGCCGCCGCGGCTCGTGCTGACAGAGTATGTGCCCTCGCTCATCGCGGAGAAGTCCAACACCACGCGGCCCCTCGATTACCTCCGGTTTTTTCTGCGGCGAGGATACAGCATGGTCGATGACAAAGGGCACCACATCGCCACCGAAGCGCAGTTGGTGCACTGGAGAGCAGGCTGGATGAATGACTTGGTCATGCGACGCTCGGAGTAGGCTTCGCCTTCTCCTTCCTCAGCTCGGTGACGTGTATCTACTGCCTATCGTGCGCAGGATGTACGTGGTGGGTCACTTGACCAGTGAAGTACTATTCTGAGGTGAACTTCACTGTGTACTGTAGTACCCACACAGAGCCCCGATAGCTGCGATGCGAATACATCGGTAAGTAGTAAAGAGATGTCTCTTGTCTGTCCGTCCGCAAGCTTTCTAGCTTTGTCCTTTCGTTTGTTTTGCCATGTCCACCATTCCTGCCACATGGCAAACCCCGCACGCGCATGTGTGCGCATGAGAGGTGCATGAGCATCGCGCCCCAGAGGTGCCATCAGGGGCCAGGCGGGGCTCCGGCCGGCTTTGCCATGTGCGATGTGGCCTGTGTGTGTGTCGGTGCGGTGCTCCAAAAGGGAGAAGAGAGAGTCAATCACCGTACCCCGAGGGGAGGGGAGAGGGCTCACTCACAACGCGGCCACATGGCAAAACGCATGCATATGTGCCAGCCACTAGCAGATAGCAGATACAGCCCACAGCCCACAGGCCACAGCTCAAAATTTGCTTCGGCTCGCTGCGCTCGCGTGGCTCCGGCGGACGGAACGCCGCCACATCGTACCCGCTCAGAGACCCGAGATGATCTCCGATGGCTCCCGGTAACCGTCTACGAGGGGCGGGCGTGGAGCAAGTGGGTCCGCCCTTGCACGAGAGCACGACGGTGATACGAGAAACCCCAACCTAGAGCACTCGAGCTGTGATGCGGCTCAGTCCACGATCATGAGCTGATCGTCCTCGGCCACGAGTTCCTCGATGAGGAAGAAGTGCACAATGCACTCGGCGATCCTCTGCACGTTGCGCAGAAAGGCTGTGCGGTCCACGCGGCGGCAAACAATGTAATCTCTGATGCTCTGCACATGCTCATTCGTCAATGCCCTCCTCACACTCGGCAATTGCCGCATCTGCAGCCCCCTGCTCCGAGAGTTTGCGAGGCGAGCATGACCTCGCCAGGCTCGCCACGGCGGTGAAGTTGAAGCGACTGTAGCTGCAGACGGCTCCCTGCTGCTCGGTGTACGAATTCTGTCCGAACCCCCCCAGAGGCTTCACCACATGCTAGGGGGGTGGGTCCCGACCCCCCAGCACCTTCACCACATGCTGGGGGGGGGGGGGGGGGGTCACCGCCGAGGACCCCCCCAGAGACTCGTGGTCAGGCCCTCCGGGCCCTTGATTTTACGCCTCATTTCGCAGCATTTTCGAGGGGAAAATCATCTTTTGGAGCTACATGAGCCTTGAGACTGGTCAGATTCTCCAAGATATTGGTCTTTCAGCCACGATTCCACAACTTTGGGGGCAAAATCGGCTCTCTGGCGGCTATTCCTAGCCCACGAACTGCTGGGGGGTGCCCACCACATGCTAGGGGGGGGGGGTCCGACCCCCCCCAGAGGCTTCACCACATGCTGGGGGGGGGATCCCGACCCCCCCAGAGGCTTCACCACATGCTAGGGGGGGGGTGGGGCGTGCAGAGAAGGGCGCCCCCCTCCCTGGAAGCGATGTCCGCCTGCTTTTCGACGACGTCGAACACGTAGCGAAAGAGAGACCGTCGAGGGGAGGGCGGCTCGTAACTGAGGTTCGCCGTCAGGGACAGTCGTCCTCCCCTTCTCGGCCATTCCAACGGCCAGACCGCTCGCTTAAGGCTGATTGGCTAGACGAGCGGCCTACCTCCAACGGGGCGGTCTGGAACTGGATCACGGGGGATGACATCCTGCCTCCCGGCACGCCGGGAGGAGGTGGGTGCTCCGCCGCCGGACCCCCCCCTCCATCACCCTCGCCCAGGGATCTACAACCCAACACTGGAGCACTTGGAGTGCAGTCGGTAGCACATCACAGGCGCCCAGCCGCCGCCGCCTGGCGCACACATAATGCTCCCGCTGCTGCTCACCTCCCTCACGTCGCTGCTGTCAGCCTGGCGGCCGGTGCCGTCGCGCGGCGCTCGCTCTGCGCCGGCGGCGCTCAGCGTGCGCACCGCCTACGCGCGGAGTGTGACGCTCGCCAAGCCGCTCGGCATCGTGCTCGAGGAGCGCGACGGCGGCGGGGTGCGCTTCGACTCCTTCCAGGAGGGCGGCGCCGCCGCCGAGCAGGCCGCCGCGCTGGACATCGCTCCCGGCGACCGCCTCCTGGCGGTGGAGGGCGTCGACGTATCGCGGCGGGGCTTTGACGCGGTGATGGCCCTCCTCGTCGACGCCCCCTCGCCGCTGCGCCTCACCGTCGACGACGGGCTCGACACGCTCGACATCACGCCCAACCTCGCAAAGTCGCTCTCCGCCGACGACGCGGCCGCCGCCGACCAGACAGTGCGCGTAGCGGTGCGCGAGACGCGGCGCATCGTCGGCGCGAGCGGCGAGCTGCAGGCGAGCCTCGGCTCGCTGCTCCGCGTCGAGATTGTGCTCGGCGCGGGCGTGCGGCCGGACGGGCGCTGCCTCGTCCGCTTCTTCGGCATCTTCACCACCGACGGCGGCGCGTCGACCTACTCGTGCAACCTGAGCGCGACGGGGCGGAGGAGGGAGGACGGCAGCACCGAGATCCTGGCGCTGTCGGCGGCCAAGGACGAGGGGTGGGGGCAGACCATCGACTTGCGGAGGGACGCGGGGAGCTGACACGACACAGCCCCCTCTCTGAGTCGTCTCCGAGCGGTCGCGGCCTGTGTGTACGTTGTGTATCCACCGTAAATTAGTGTGTTCGGTTTGCATGTGCATAAACAAGTGCATCATCAAACTTCAAAGGATCGACATGCACATGTACATCTGCATGTCCCTACCGTGTCGCGCAGCCGCACACGTGCTCTCCGACCACATCGCAGAGCCAGAGCCGGGCGCCGCGAGAGAGCGCAGGGGGGCAGCGTGTGGGTGCGCTTACACGTGATGGAGCCGGGATGCATCCCACAGGGCAACCAAGAGTGAGCCGATCTCGATCGCTGTCTATCCCGGCCACCAGCTCCTGGGCTAGGCTCATGAGCGAGGCCGCGCCGCCCGGGAGTCTGAGGCTACTAGAGGAAGGGGCGTTGGCTGGCTGTGGTGTGCCGTGCATCGCCCGCCCCTATCGGCTCTCACGGGCTGTTTGCGCCCGACTCCGGCGTGCCGATCTTGTCCATCGCGGCCGTCAGCTGAGCCTCGATCTCGGGGGTCGTGTCGCCCCACCCGCCAGCGAACTTGGCCTCCCAAGACGGGCGGCGCTTGAGGGGAGCCTTTGCGCCCTGCGCGGCGACCACGGTGGTGGGCTCCGCCGTCGCCCAGATGCCGACCGCCAGCAGGGCGGCGGAGCCGGCGAGCGGGACCTGAGCAGAGGAGGAGATTGTGGGGTGGAGGAAATTAGGGTGGCGTCTCGCGGCGGGTTGCGGGGTGAAGAGTAGGGTGGGCTCTCGCGGCGCTGGGGGACGGGCGATGGGCCTGGATATCGGGGTTCTTGAGCGCGGCGACAGCCTGGCGGAACATCTCACCTATCGGTGGGGGTCGGGCGCTGGGTAAGCGGGAGGGACCAGCGTCCATGTCTCTCATTGCCTTGCCTTGTGATTGCTGAGTGCGTGATGGTTAGTTAGCGAAGAGGTTTTATCTCTGAGCGCCCCAGCGCGGCCTGGGTGGCGTTTCAGGTTTTTGCTCAGCGCTCTACAGCTCTACAGCTCTACAGCGCTCTAGCAAGGCGCGCGATACATTCTACATCATCTACACCCTCCCTCAGGTTGGGCGTCGGCGTGATCAATCAACACATGGAGGCGGAGGCGGCACAACGAGGCGCCGCCCTTTTGGCCGAGACTGGTTTTCTCATGTAAAAGTTGAAGCCGCGGTTGCCCATGTCAAGCGAGTACGTCGGCGCCCCGCTACGCAGCGCGCCGCTCTCCAACCTCACGCCGCCGCTCACGAGCGCCGTCGCTACCAACTCGCTCATCCGGGCGCCGACACACCGCGCCGCGATCCACGACCTGCTCAACCGGCCGTCCTCGTCACGCGCGGCACTCGTTGTGCACTGGGTGAGCAAAAGAATTCTCCACCACGTTGGGAGAGAAGCGACTAGCACATCAAGAGTGACGGACCCGACGGGCGCACAGTAGGATCCGAGCCTGCCCACGTGCCGCTGTGATGACGCCTTTTGAGAGAGGACCCCCTGTTGCGTGTAGCTCATCCTCGGCGCGATCCTCGTCTCCACCCTCTGCTTTGTCCTCCAATCCGAGCCGGCGATGGCGTCGTGGCCCGGCTGGCGGCTCATCGACGCGCTGGTCGCTGTCGGCTTCACGGCAGAGTACATCACTCGCATCATCGTCGCCCCCGACGGGCGTGGCGACGAGGCGGCGGAGGAGGACGGGCGGAGGCCGCAGCCCGCGCCCTCCCCAACTGGGCGGTTGCCGGCTCATTCCGATGACCTGCCCGTGGCCACACCCTATAGGCAGCCGCCTCCCGCGTCCGCCTGCCAGGCGCAGCTCAGCCTTACGAGGCGAGGCGCGAGGAGTCACTTCTCATTGAGCCCTCTCCTCCACTCTCCATGGGTGGCAGGCGCGGCTGCGCCTCGCCAAGCAGCCGATGATGGTCATCGACCTCGCGGCGATCCTCCCCTTCTGGATCGGCCTCGTCCTCTTCTTCCTCCCGCAGGCACGCCCGAGACGCGTCCGAGACACTCCGAGGCACTTCCGAGACTCCTCCGAGGCACCTCCCACCGCCCACCAGGCCCTCCCCGCGATGGCCCGCGGTCTCCGCCCAGCGAGCAGTGCACACTCCTTAGTTCGCCAGCCCGCCAGGCTTTCCTGGCGATGGTCCGCGTGCTGCGCCTCGTCTAACCCTAACCCTAACCCTAACCCTAACCCTAGGCTTTCCTGGCGATGGTCCGCGTGCTGCGCCTCGTCCGCATCCTTCGGCTGCTCCGCTTCGCAAAAGAGTCCTCCGAGCTGCAGGCCCGAGATCCGCCGAGATCAGGCCAGATCCGCCGAGATCAGGCCAGATCCGCCGAGTTCAGGACAGATCAGGACAGATCAGGACAGATCAGGCGAGATCAGGCGAGAGGTTGGCGCGTCCGCCGCTGCTTCCCGGCTGCATCGCGGCTACCTCTCGGCTACCCCTCGCCCGCCTCCCCGCGTCCTCTCGCAAGGCCCTCGCCGCGTGCGTCCGCCGCTGCTTGCCCGCGCTGCGGCTGCTTCTCTTCTTCCTCATGCTGCAGAACCTGATCCTGGGAGGGTTCGTCTTCCACGCGGAGGCGCGGGTACGATCTCGGCGCATCTCGGCCCGCCTGTTCTCATCTCGTCTCGGCTACGCGTTGCGCTTTCCGAGACGCTTCCGAGACGCTTCCAAGACATTTCCGAGACATTTCCGAGACGCTTCCGAGACTACAGGAAAGGCTGAGCGCCTTCTGTCAAGAGGACAGCGTACCGCGATCCTCGCCGTCAGGCGGGCGCCTTCGTGGCGGGCGGCTCGCCCGGCGGCGGCGTGTGGGTGGGCGGGCCGGGGCGGTACGGCGTGCGAGTCTCCCCCCCCCCCCAGCTGGCGACTCGTGAGTAGGTGGCCGGGGCGGAGTGCGAGGGCCGCGTCGAGCCAGGCGGGGAGGAGGAGGAGGAAGGGGAGTGCCGCTTGGCGCCCTTCCAGTCGGTGCACCTCGGCCGCACCTCGGCCGCACCTCGGCCGCACCTCGGCCGCACCTCGGCTGCACTTCGGCTGCACTTCGGCTGCACCTCGGCTGCAGGTGCGTGACGGGATTTGGTGGGCGCTGGTGACGGTGACGACGGTGGGGTATGGCGAGCTGAAGCCGAGATGTGCCCGAGATGTGCCCGAGATGTGCCCGAGATGTGCCCGAGATGTGCCCGAGATGTGCCCGAGAGTAGTAAGGCTGGCGGACTGGACTGGCTGAGCGCAGGCGATCTCGTGCCTCTCTCGACGGCGGGCCGGCTCGTGGGGGCGATGGCGATGCTGACCGGCGTGGTCGGCCTCTCCTCCATCATCTCGATCATGACTCAGGAGAGGGCTCGCACGGCTCCTTCCCAGGACACTTCCCGGACACTTCCCGGACACCGCGGCGACACGGCCGTCCAGACGCCTCGCCGCCCCCCCACACACCACCCCGCGGCAGAGAGCACGGCAGAGAGACCGCTCGTGGTTGACTCGGCTCACCCACCCTTGCTTGGCGGCCACTTCGCAGGAGATGGGCTGCTGCCGCGACCCAGAGACCGGCCGCTTCTCGCACCGCCCCTCCGCCACGCCGCCGTCGGTAGTAGGACTGGCGGGTCCAACCCGCTCCTCCTCGCCCCGTCCCGGACCCTTCTCGGAGCCCTTGCCCGTAGGCGCGCGCCAACGGGTCTACCCCGCCCCTCCTCGCCGCGACCATTCCGCCAACCAGCTGCGGCGGCGGCGGCGGCGACGGGGGCGGTGCGGCGCAGCTCCACGCGCTTGAGCAGCGGCGAGCGCGGCTCGAGCGGCTCCCCGGGAGGAAGTCGGTCCGAGGGAGCACGGCGGACTTTGCTTGCCGATAGGCTAGCGCGGCTCGAGCAGCTCCTCACTTCGGTCGACAGGCGGCTGCAGGACGCCGCTGCAGCCAGCCAGGAGCAGGACCTCCCCGCGGCCGCGGCGGCCAGCGCCGCTCGGCCCCCGCCAACAGCGGCGGAGGCGGCGGCGGAGGCCGCGTTCCCCACCGCTCACTTGCCGGTAGATCAGTTTTGAGGTTCGGGGCGGCGACGACCGCGGACGACATGGCGTCAAAGTTTTAGCACGAAAGGAATCCGGAGAGCCAGAGGCGCGCGCGCCGGAGGCGCCGGCAAGCGCAGGGCTCGCGGGTAGAGTAGGAATTCTATAAGGAGAGGGAAAGGTGCAGGGTTAAGATTCCGTTAGCGGGAGTTCGCGCTACGCAGCGGTGCTGGCTGCTGGGCTGGAGCCTCCACGGTGGAGCTGGCGGCGGCGCAGCTGCGCGGGACCCGCGGGCCGACTACACGGTCGAAATTTTCTTCTAATACGCGAGTGGGCAAACTTGTACTGGGCTGGGTCTTTAGGCATTGTGGGGTTGGCACTCCCATCGACCCTCATGACCTCCTGCGGTCTCTGAGACGGACACCAGTGGGTGTGGGACCACAGGCAGGATACACTCGAAGACTGGGTAAGCAGTAGAGGTCGATACTCGACGCGTCCCACATGGTCTGTGTCGCTGTCGGCACGCTGTCGACAGGACGTCGAGCGACACCGGTGGCAGTGCCACCCAGGAGTGGTCGGGCGGTCTCCCGTCATGAGAGAGCCACCATGTGATCCGTATGATGGTTCCTGACAACCGCCTCAGTCAACTTTCGTCACAGTTTCCGCTCTGAGAGGAGCTGCGGGTCAGTTCGACAGCTGGAGCTGTGTCGCCGGCGTGCGGCGGCCTGCCTCCGGAGGTGCCTCTGAGGTGGACATTTTTTGGTCACCGTGAGAGAACGCGTTCGAATTTTCACTCGGGAACTTCAACTCCACACGCGCACCGGCCAGGGCTACAATAGTGCCAGTGAGGCGGAGGCGCGAGTCGGAAGGCCGCGACCGTCAAGTGTTCCCCCAAATTTCCTATAAATAAATAAATAAAACGGGCACGCCAAACGAGGGGTGGGAGAGGGACAGGGTCCCCACCTGCACGAGCAGGATCTTGGAAGGACGATCAGGGACACAGGGGAACGGGAGCGGGGAGCGCATCGCGACACGGAGGGGGGCTGGGCAGGGTTCACCCACACGACAGGGTCCCAGGGATTCCTCTCTCGTATAGGACAGGTTGCACCCGGCGGCACGGGGGCAGGCGCGGGCCTCCTACTGGTTGCGCTCTCCTACAATCGCTGTGGACCCAGCCACGTATTCTTCTACTGTTATAGCGCCAGAGTGCGCGCCAGTCCCGTGCCCAGTGTCGGAGGAAGAGTTAGTTCTAAAATTCTTCTACCCGGGTCGAACCTGTGTCGGTGAGCACTTTGGAGCACTTGGAGTGCAGTCATCAGCCTCACATCCAGGGCCGGGGAGCTAAGAAGCGCACCCAGCGGGCCGGATGATCGGGATCGGGTTGCGGGCAAGAGAGCCCTAGCCCCGGGGGTGCGCGTTCGCAGGGAAAGGGCCTTAAAAGTAAACACGGGTCTCCGAGGGTTGGCTCCGCGCTCCGGGTTTCCCCTAGCAGCAGACCGCCCCCCCTCTACTCGGAGCTATAATGAACACCAGACATGAACACGACGCGTACTCTCACACGACGTCACCGCTCAGGGCCCCTTCGCGCAAGGTCCTCATCCTCACTCCGGATGAGGCTCCCCTCTCCTCTGAGTTCTTCCTCTTGTTCGCCTTCCGATGATCATCCGACGGGCGCGGGGCCCGACCTCCCCTCCTAGCCATTTTCAGCCGCGGCCCCGCCACCACCTTTTCTTCTCTGTGCTAGTTCGTGCCAGTCTGCTGTGCGAGGGGGGGCGTGGGTCGAGCGCGCACCGGCCGGCTCCGAGAGCGGCCGTCACGTCGAAGAGGGGGGCTGGTGCTGCTCGAATGACGAGGCGTGCCGCTCTGCTGCGCTGCCGACAGCCCCTCTTCCGAGCCGGCGCGTGGCGGCGAGCCGCGGCCAGTGTCGCTGGTGCGGTGGAGGCGGCAGCTTGCATCGGCCGGCAGCGGGTGCTGCCATCACGTCGATGAGGGGGGGTTGTGTCGGCGACTCGTGTGGCTCGAGGCCTACGCTGCGCCGCCCGAGCCCTACTGCCGATCCAGCGCCTGGCGTTTGGGGCGAGCCGCGGTCGTCGTCGCTGATGGTATGGCGGCGGCGGCGGCGGCTCGCCCTTCCCTCCGGCCGCAATTCCGATCCCGCCGCGCTCGCGGGAGGTCGCGCGTATATATTTCTAGACAGCAAGGGCCCCGTGGTGCGTGGTTGCTTTCAAGTTCTTAGATCACAACCCAAGGATGATATAATAAGGCAAAAAGATGGGTTGCGCCTTGCCGATCCGCACCTACCTAGGCTCTTCGTTGGGTGGCGCGCCCACTTCACAACGAACCGTACTCGATCAGTCTCTGTTCGCGCCCGCTGTCGTGCCGCGCTGGGTGCCGGAAAGGGCCTCCAAATGCGCCCCCCCGCGCCCGCAGCCCCCGGCCAGTATTCGCCCGTCTACTCCGCCTACCTCGGCTGCTTCGGGTGCCACACCACTCTCGTCGTCCCGAGCGGTGCGCCGAGCGTGGTGTGCGGCCGCTGTGGTGCATATAACCAGGTTCCCGGCGTGCAGTCGGTGATGGGGCCCGCGATGGGGCCCTCACCGATGATGTACCCTCCCCCCGCCATGCCGCCGCACTTTGGCATCTCGCCGATGGGGCCTCTGATGGGCCCGATGATGGGGCCGCACATGGGCCCTCCTTCCATGGCTGCGCTCCCGCCTGGCGCGATGCCGCTCTACGACGGGCGAGGGATGCTCCACGGCTTTCTCCGGCCGAACGGGCGAGGGATGATGCACGCGGACAGCGCCTACGGGGCTCAGGGGGCGGCGGCGGTGTCCGCTGCCGCCGCGATGGGCGTGCCGCCCTCCCCCATCCTCCCCGCCCTCGCCGAGCTGTGCGCGGCGGAGCCGGGGACCAAGGCGCGGGCCAAGGCGAAGCGTCAGCTGGCCGAAGTGTACGGCGTGAAGCCAAAGACTATGGTGGAGGCGGCGACGCGGATTCAGCGCCGCTGGCGCGACGGCGCCGCCGCGAGCTTCTCCGACCTGGCTGCGCTCGTGGACGAGAGGCAGGAGGCACAGGAGAAGGCGGACAAGGCGCAGGAGAAGGCGCAGCGGAAGGAGCACGGGCGGTCGGAGAGGGCGGTGGCGGCCCAGCTGGCGGCCAAGCTGCACGGAGGGCGTTTGCACCGCCAGCTGGTCGACAAGCTGCGCGCCGGCGAAGAGCAAGGCCTCGCCGCCGGCAGGCTGATCGCAGACACGGCTCTGAGGAGCCTCTGCGTGGCGGCGGCGAAGGAGAGTGGGATCGGCTACGTCAGCCCGGCGCTGGTGCTCGAGCGTCTGCCCGGCATCCGGCAGGAGCGCGGTCTCTATGTGTACGCGCCCGAGGGCGCGCCCGAGCGTGCGCCCGAGGCGGGCGGCGCGGGGGCAGACGGGGCGGCGGAGGAGGAGGCGGAGGAGGAGGGAGAGGAGGGGAAGGAGAGGACCTCCTTCCTCTCCCAGGCGGCCGCCGCGAGGATGGCAGCTGCGGCGGCGGCCGGCGCCTCCGCCGGCCCCTCCGCCACCGCCGCCTCCGCTCCAGCCGAGGCGCACAGCAGCTCGAGGCCGGCCGGCAGCTCGGGCGTCGCCTCTGCTTGGCTCACCCAGCGGCAGGCAGCAGCAGCAGCAGCAGCAGCAGCAGCAGCAGCAGCAGCAGCAGCAGCAGCAGCAGCGCCCCCTTCGACGACGCGGGCCGCCGTGCCCTCGTTCGCCTCTGTGGCCGCTCGCAGCGGACGGGAGGGCAGGGCTCCTGTCTCCGCCTCCGCCTCCGCCTCCGCCTCCGCCTCCGCCTCCGCCTCCGCCTCCGCCTCGTCGGCGGGCCCCGCTCGCAGCTGCGGGCGTCAGGCGTCGGACGCCTCGTGCCACACCTCGAGCTCCTCCTCCAAAAAGCTCTCGATTTGGTTCCAGCGGCCAGCGGAGTCGGAATGCGCGCGGGTGCCCAGGTGGGGAGTGCGGCTGACTGGCGCCTGCGACACGCATCATCGCCGCCTGCGAACCTTCTCGGAACCTGCTCGGACCCCCTCCCGTAGGCGCCGTCGACACACACCCTCGCGTCTCGGAGGCGCTTGCCGGGGCAGGGACCGCCGTCGGCAAGGCGAGGACTCTTCTCGGAAGCTCCTCGGAGCCTTCCTGCAGGTGCTGCCGGGCGGGCTCGCCGAGGGAAGGCTCCGCGCCGCAGACACGGTCCTCGCGCCTCTGGACGGCCACGCGTACCCCCGGGGCACGTGTGTCCACGACGCGTCCACGGCACCCCCCCCCCCCCCCCCACCAGGTCCTCGCCGTCAACGGTACGCCCGTGTGGGGCCACAAGGCGGCGACCGAGGCAGCGAGCGGCGAGGCGAGGGGCTCGCCCCCCGGAGCGCCCCTCCCCGCCTGAGCCTTCGCGGATGCCCCTTCTCCAGGCGCTGCGCGATGCGTGTGGCCTCATCGAGGTCGAGGTCTTGCGGGGCGCAGATTTGGCCGGCAGAGGGGCGCGAGGCGCGGGAGGAGGGGGAACCGCGGGCCCCGCCGGGACGGAGCCGCCGCCTCGCACCGCCTCCTCCACCGCCTCCGCCGCGCCGCGCCCCTTTATTCCCAGCGACGCTGGCACGATCATAGCTCGGCTCGAAGCGCTCGAGGAGTACGTTGAGTCGAGCGGAGGGGCGGCCGGCGGGCGGGCGGCGAGCGGGGGCATCTTTGGGCGGGTCGTCGCCGTCGAGGGTGCCGTGCAGGCGCTTCTCGAGACGCGCGGCGTCACCCCCTCCGCCGCAGCCTCCGCCTCCCACCCGCCCGCGCAGCTGCCGGAGAAGGTTGCACGGCTAGAGCAGCTCCTCGCGGCGCACACTGTTCCCGCCACGGCGCCCGCCTCCGCCGCTGCAGCCGCCGCAGCTACCCCCGTCGCCGTTGCCTCCACCGCCGTCGCCGCCGCCGCCGAGAAGGAGCTGCCGCTGCTGGTCAAGGTGGAGACGATCCGCTCGGCGCTCTCCCTCCCGAAAGGGACGCTGGTCGCGATGCTCCAGGCCGCGCACAACACCCTCTCTCTCGAACCCGACGGCGGGCTCCTCAGCCAAGCCAACCGGCTGCTGCGAGTCCTGCACGAGGCTGGCCGCCTCCCCCCCCTCTCGTCTGCGTGAGCCGCCACGGCTTGCGTGTTTAGATTTTTTCTCTTTCAAATCAAAGGCACGTGTTCAAACGAGAGAGAGATAGAGAGCATAGAGAGCCGTCGAGTGTCAGGAACTTACGCGTTAGAGGGAGCGGACCGTGAGTTGAGGAAATCGGAGGACGCGACCCACTTCGCCACAGACGGTCCCGCGCCTCGCCGCTATGACGGCGACACGGCCGCAGCTCGTGTGCGTGTCGCCGTCTTTGTCCGGAGTGAATACTCCAACGCGCTCGTCGGTGACGGTGTCCTCCAACCTGCGCCGCGCTCGGCGAACCTCGACAGCGCTTTCGGTGGCATGCAGCTCTTTGCGCCTGAAGCTTGGAGAGCAGCTCCTCTGCTGCTCACACACTCTGCACAGTTGACACAGCCTACTGTGCGGCTGCCACAGCTGTGACAGCGATGGGCTCGCCCTCACTGGCCCTCAGTCACTTGTGCTGCGGCTCGTTGTGTGAGCGACACTGCTCGGCGACTGCCGGCACACTGTGAGACCATGGGTGTGAGGTTAAACCACGCTACCAGCGCTTGGTCACATCGGCCCCGAGGTCAGATCCTTCTACTCTGTTGATGACAACACTTGTCTACTCGCTGGAGCCGAGCAGGAGGGCCCGGCGCACAACCCCTGGTCAACTCAGGGTCCACACCCCGTACGGCTCTAAGTCTAACGCTTAAAAACGGTAAAGACACCTCAGAACTGCGGTGAGATGCAGATGGCCCCACCCCGATAACATATCACCTCGGCCGATACTTGTCGCTGGAAGGTGCTATACAGCGCCCCGTGGTATATCACTTGGGGGTGATACCATATCGGCGCCGCTACCAAGTACCATAACGCCTGGTGGTGCTACATATCGGTCAGTGCTACCCATATCGCTGCGGGGGCGATCTGAGCCCCGCCTGGTGTCGAGGTGTCGAGGCCCGGTGTCGAGGGTGTCGAGCTGCTGTCGAGGGATAGAGGTGTCGAGGCCTGTTGAGGCCTGTCGAGGCCTGTCGAGGCCTGTCGAGGCCTGTCGAGGCCTGTCGAGGCTGGTACCACGCTTGTCCATCCGTACGCTGGTACCACGCCCAGCAAAACGCTGTTCCTTAGTTGCAGCCTCTCAGTTGCACCCCTGTTGATGTAGCACAACCTGTGAGCACAACCAGTATACTCTGTGGGCATTTGAGGACATCAAGCTGGGGGAATCGTGTCCACAATCGACTCTCTCGCGGCAGCCCGGGTTCATTTCTTTTTTCGTTTCACAACAGGATTCCGCGACCCTAACCCCGACGACGGCCACGAAGCAATACAATCGGCTGCGCTGGCTGCGCGGATTCGTGGGATCTCACACAATCGTAAACTCCATCTGGGACGCCTTCGCGTACATCAAGCAGCTCGAGGACCTCCAGATCGCCAACAATGGGGAGCGCAGCTTCGAGCGGCGGCGTATTGCTGACTTGGAGGCGCAGATGCTGGCCGGAGATGTCTCGCAGCTGAGCCTGGAGGAAGCCCAAACTCTCGAAGAGCAGCGCAACAAGGCGCGACCAGCTCATCTTCCTGCGCAACGTCAACCTGTCTGACGGGGCCGAGGCCGACATGGCACATGCACGCAACCCTCTTCACAGACACGATGCCTGAGGAGTTCGACGAGGACGAGCTCTACTGCCACAAGACCCTCTCCCCTGGCACCTTTGCCGACCACGACGACTTGGTGACGCGCTGCTCCCTCTTCTGGTGGGAGGTTATCGCGTGCCAGTGCAAGGCCAAGGGCGATCCGCAGGCTTCCACCTCGTCTGCTGCCTCGACCTCGTCCTCCTCGCCGGCACCGAACGTGTCTCCAACCGAGCCGGTGGCCGACATCTGCACTACGCCGGGCTGTACGCTCGGAGAAGAAGAACCCGGCGGAGCAGGTCTGCTTCTACTGCAAGCAGGGGCGCACCGGCCACATCGACGAGGCCATGGCGGGGTCCAGCAGCTCGCTTTGAGCCTTTCCTCTTCAACGAATGCAACTTCACGCTCCATCTCCATCCACGGTGGACCCTTTGCGGAGACTCGGTCGTGTGACCGTGTGTGTGACGCACCTTGGATTTAAAAACGGTGCACGGCCACTGCGCGTGTTTATCTTCTGTTACACGGCTCGAGATTTTTGGCTCTTGTTTTGCCTTTGCGGCGTGTTGGCTGTTACGACTTACACCTTTCCATTTGACCCGCGGGCGTCGCCGTCGGACAGACTCCACTTCGTATAGTAAAAAACCGCACCGCCACCGGCCACCAGCCACGCTCTCTACGCCTGCCTGGATCATGTATTAGGATGCATCATGTTCATGTGTGTTATGTGATGCTGCATCATGCATGGGATTCCATGTGACACCGCCGTGCCGAAAGCCAGCCACCGACCCCGTCTCCCTCCCCTCCCCGGCCCCCTCCCCCTCCCCTCCGTCTCCCGCCAGAGTGCCTCTCGGTGCCGGCCGCTCCGCCCCCCTCTCCCGCCGGGGCGCCGCCGCTCTGCCAGCCTCACGCGGGCGCGTCCCGCGGCTCAACGAGGACCTCGTTGACCTATGCGGACGTGCCGAGGACGCGTGGTGGGACGTGTCACGCCTTCGCGGCTCGACGACCTCCTCCCGGGGGCGGACCGCGACGTGCGGCGGCTGCGACAGGGCCCACACGACGGTGTCTGCGACGTCGAGCGGGTCGAGCCAGACGTTGCGGTCCTTGGACGGCTGCGCGTAGATGCCGCGCGCCTTAGGGGCAGACCGGTGTGCGTCGCGCGAGGAGAGACGGGCACGGTGAGGAGTACAAGGGGAGGGCGGGTGCGGCGTGGAGAGGAGCGACAAGCGCGGTGCATCGCGGGAGCAGAGACGCGGGGCCGCTGCGCGTAGCGAGCGCGCGCCTCCTCGTCGGTCGTGCAAGCGGGGAGCTCGGAGCGGCAATCGCCCGGCTGCACGGTCGTCACCTTGACGCCCGTACCGACGCACTCGGCGCGCAAGCCCTGCGAGACCGCCTCGTTGAAGAACTTTGTGCCGCTGTAGACGGAGAGGCCGGGGAAGGCCTTGCGGCCCGCGTCCGAGGTGATTGTGAGGATGTGGCCTCTGCCGCGCGAGAGCATGCCGGGCAGCACCGCCCCGACGGCGTTGAGCATGCCCTTGCAGTTGACGTCGACCGCCTGCGCCCACTCGTCCTCGTGCAGGTTCTTCATCAGCGTGTAGTGCATCACGCCCGCGTTGGACACCAGCACGCTCACAGGGCCGAGCGCACCCTCCGCCTCGCGCACGCACGCCTTGACGGACGCCCGGTCGGTCACGTCCGCAACCACGGCGAGGGTGGGCACGCCGTGCGCGCGGGACAGCTCCCCCGCCAGCGACTCGATCCGCCCCTTCCGCCGTGCCGCCAGGCAGACCGCCGCACCCGCCGCAGCGAGCTGCCGCGCGATCGCCGCGCCGATCCCGCCCGAGGCCCCGGTGACGACGGCGACCTGGCCGGTGAAGCGGCGCGGCTCAGGCAAGCCCGAGATTACCCGAGATTACCCGAGATTCGACCTGGCCGGTGAGGCGGCGCGGCTCGGCGCCCCCGGCCGCGCCTCCGACCGCCGGCCGCGGGAAGACGCCAGCGTCGAGGAGGTGCCAGCAATACTCGCGCACGAGCGCGATGTCGAGAGGCGGGTAGGCGCCCGCGCCGCGACGGCTGCAGACGGCGCGCAAGGCGGCGCTCTCGAAGGAGGCGGTGGCGTCGTTGGCGGCGAGTGCCTGTCCACAGACACACGGCCGTGAAGGGGCGCAGGCGGGAACGGCTGCGCGCGACGGCGGCGACACCTCCGGAGTGGCCAGTGGACTCAGCAAGTCCCACAGCGGGCGGAGGATGGCTTGCGCCGCCTCCGACGCGCCGCCGGCGGCAGCCTCGAGCCGCTCGCGGAAGGTTGCGTACGGCAGCGACTCGACCGCGACGCCGCAGCTCCGCGCCGCGTCGAGCACGGCGTCCCAAGGCAGAGTCGCGTCGGAGTTGACCAGGTTGTACGCCTGGCCGACCGCGCCAGAGTCGCCCGAGAGGGCCACGACTGCGCGCGCCGCAAAGTCGACCGGCGTCAGCTCGCAGCTCCACCCGCCGACTCCGCCAGGCGCCGCGCCGAGCAGCGCGCAGCCAACCAGCATCAGAAAGTTGGAGTCGGAGCTGTTCCAGCCAGCGGCGGCGACCTTGTCCGAGAGAGAGCTCGGCCCGCCTCGCGACCGCTCGGCGGCGTCGAGCGCAGCCTTGACCTGCTCTGCGGCGTCGAAGCGGGGCGTGCGCCCGATCGACACGTTCTCGGCGTGGATGAGCTGGCGCGTGCCTGCAGGGGGAGGAGGGCGTGTCACGCGCGTGTCACGGGCGTGTCATCGGCGTGTCATCGGCGCGGAGGAGCGAACGCGCGCCTCGCGGTCGGATGGCGGCGCGCGGGTCGCACCCACCAAGGTTGCCTAAATGGCGCACACGCGGGGAGCGTGAAGGGCAGAGACGCAGAGACGCAGAGGTGTCTCAGCCGGCGATGGCTTGCCTGGCCGGACGATGGTCGTGGGCAGGCGGGTAATCTCGGGTAGTCTCGGGTAGTCTCGGGTAGTCTCGGGTAATCTCGGGCTTGCCTGGCCGGACGATGGTCGTGGGCAAGCCTCGCTTGGCCGCCTAATTAATAATTAGTAGTTAATTAATAGTTAATTAGTTAGCTAATTAGCCCTCGCTTGGCCGCCTCGCGCACAAGCAGCTCCGCCACGCACTTGGACTGCGCGTAGCCGGTCGTGAGAAGGGGCAGCTCGGCGTCCAAGTCGGCCTCGCCTTCTGCGTGCGGTCCGCGCGTGCCTGAGGGAGGGAGAGGGGGGGGCGGTGTGAAAGAGGACTCACACTCGGCCTCGCCCTCTCTTCCGCGCGCGGGCCGCGCGTCGCCTGGCCGAAAGACGGCGTCGGTCGAGACGTAGGTCACCGGCTTCACCTTGTGGTCCATCGCGAAGTGGAGCACGCGCGTGGTCGACACGACGTTGTCTCTGCGCAGGCCCGCGTACCTGCGGTTAGGGTTAGGGTTAGGGTTAGGGTTAGGGTTAGGACGTTGTCCCTGCGCAGGCGCGCGTACCTGCGGCACACACTCCGACAGCCGCTCAGCCCAGAACCTCAGCCGAGCGAGAGACATCGCGCCCACTTCCCCACCACCGACACTGCTCACGGGTGACTAGCTAGGGCATCGCGCACGGGAAGACGAGGTTGACGCGCGCGGCGGCGTGGATGACGCGGTCGACCACAGTGGCGAGGTACTGGTAGTGGTCGTTGGAGAGGCCCAGGCTCTTGAGAGCGGTGTCGCCCTCGATGCCCTCGATGCGCGCCGCCCACCCGCCCTCGGACTCCCAGAGCCCGAACCGCTCCAGCGTGCCCATCACGCGCTCGAGCGCCTGTTCACAGTTGCAGGTGTGAAGGAGACGCTCTCACGGTGCCATCGTGCCCCTCACGGCGTCGAAGCGCCGTCTCCGTCGCCGACGCGCGCACGAGGCAAAAGATGGTCTTCGGCCCTCTCTCCCCCGCCGCGAGCAGCTCGCGCAGCACGAAGGCGCCTAATTGATAATTAATAGCTCATTCATAGTTAATTAGCCGCGAGCAGCTCGCGCAGCACGAAGGCGCCGAGGAAGCCGGTCGCCCCGGTGAGCAAGACGCACTCGCCCGCGCAGCCGAGCTGCAGCGGCTCCTCCCGCGCCTTGCACCCCTCCTCCCGCCCCCCCTCCGCCCCGAGAGCCAGCAGCGACGAGTAGCTCCCCACGCGGCTCGCCGACTGCGACGAGCAGCTGTCGACCCGCCTAATAATATTATTAATTATATATTATTAGTAGCTGTCGACCCGCCTGCTCGCGAGAGAGAGAGAGTTGCGTGCCAGTCAGTGGAGAGGAGCCGAGAGGAGCCGAGAGGAGCCGAGAGGAGCCGAGAGGAGCCGAGAGGAGCCGAGAGGAGCCGAGAGGACCCGCCTGCTCGCGAGAGAGACGCCGTGCCAGTACGCGCGCAGAGCCGAGTCGAAGCCGACGGGCATGCCGCCCGCCAGGGCCGCAATCTCCTTCTCCACGACGGAGCGGGGGAGGGGCGTGTGCGGGGCCTTGTCCGCGCGGCTGGCTCCGTCAGCGTCGAGGTGCGCGGACAGCTCTCGGATGGTGGGGTGCTCGAAGAGGGAGGCGACGCGCACCGCCGGGTAGCCTCCCTGGTTGAGCGCGGCGATCAGCCTCGTCGCGCGGAGGGAGTGCCTAATTAATGAAGTAATTAACTGTTAATTAACCATTACTTGTTAATTAGCCTCGTCGCGCGGAGGAGGGAGTGCCCCCCCTGGTCGAAGAAGGACTCCTCGGGGTCGACCATCGCAGCGGGCAGCTCGAGGACCTCTGCCCACACCTTGCCCACCGCAGCCTCGGTCGGCGTGCGCAGCTGCGGCCCCCGCGCACCGCCGCTGCTCTCGACGAAGCGGAGGAGCTCCGGCAGCGTCCTCGGCAGCGCCTTGTGGTCGAGCTTGCCCGAGAACTCGTTGGTTGGGAGCTCGTCCATCGGGACGATGAAGGACGGGACCTAATTAATTAATAATTAATTAATAGACCTCGTTGGTCGGGAGCTCGTCCATCGGGACGATGAAGGACGGGACCATGTAGTGCGGCACGGCCGCGTGCAGCTCCGCGCGCGCCTGGCGCGGCGCCGCCTCGCCGGCGCTGCCCCCGTCTCGCTCTCTCTCGAAGACGACGAAGGCGGCGAGATGCTTGTCCGTCCCCTCCTCGCCCACCACGCGAACCACGCACGAGGTGACCCCCTGGCACTGCAGCAGCGCCGCCTCGACGGCGCGCAGCTCCACCGAGTAGCCGCGTATCTTCTGCATCGAGTCGTGCCGCCCCAAGATCTCAAGCGTCCCGTCCGGCCGCAGCCTGATTAATTAACTGGTGAACGATTAATTAACTATCAATGAAGATCTCAAGCGTCCCGTCCGGCCGCAGCCTGCCCCAGTCGCCCGTGTCGTACAGCCGCGAGTAGAGGGCGGGCGAGGCCGCGTCCTGGCCGGGCGTCTGCGGCGCGGGCGTCGCCGAGAGGGAGGGAGGCCGCGGGAGGAACTTCTTGGCGGTGAGGTCGGGCCGCTGCAAGTACCCGCGCGCGAGGCAGGGACCGGAGACGAACACCTCGCCCGGCAAGCCGAGCGGGACGGGGCGGAGAGCCTTTGCGGCGTCCGCCCCTCGCTGCGCCTCGCCCGACTTCTCCGCCTGGTTCGCGTCCTCCAGGATGAGCACCTCGACCCCGTCCAACAGCGGGCCGGTCGAGCAGTACTTTCCTTCGGGCGGCGGCGTGGCGGCGAGGTCGACCATGGACACGTCGTGGCACTCGGAGATGGAGTAGAGGTTGAGCAGCTTGAGGCCGGCGGGGGCGAGAGAGAGCACCCGCGCGCGCAGCTCCGCCGTCGCCACCTCGCCGCACAGCACGACCACGCGGAAGGCGGCAAAGGCGCGCCGCAGCTCGTCGCCAGAGGCGAGGGCGGGCGAGTCGAGCACAGCCTCGAGGAGGGAGGGCGTGAAGAGCATGCGGGTGACGGCGTGCCGCTCCAGGAAGGAGGAGAGGGCGGGAGGGTCGTAGATGACCGAGTCCGGCACCACGACCAGCGTCGCCCCCTGCAGCAGCGGCCGCAGCATCTCCCAGACGAAGAAGACGTTGCATGCCTCGCGGTCGGAGCCGTCCGCCGCGTACGGCGCGTGGTGCGCGCGGTGGGAGTACGAGAGGACGGAGCCGCGGTGCGGGCAGGAGATGCCCTTCGGCTCGCCCGTCGTCCCGCTAGAGTAGACGCAGTACGCGAGCGACTCGAGGCTCGTCGCCAGCGACGGGAGAGCCGCCAGCTCGGCCGGCAGCAGCGCACAAGCCTCCTCCCAGCCGGGATCGAGGCAGAGGCGCGGCGCGTCGGCGGGCAGCTTTGCCGCCTGGCTCTCTAGCGTCAGCGTCAGCACCGGCTTCGCCTCGGCGAGCACACGCCGCAGCATCTCCGCCGGGTAGCCGACCTCCAGAGGGAGGTAGGCGCCGCCCGCTGACAGCGCCGCGATGTAGCCGACGGCAAACTCGAGGCAGCGCGGCATGAAGATGGGCACGACCGGCTGCTCCTCGCTCACGCCGCGGTGCCGCAGCGACAGGGCCAGGGTCTGTGTCTGCCGCTTGAGCTCTGTGTAGGTGAGCTCCCGCTCCTGGTCGATGACGGCGATCCGGTCGGGAGTCCGCGCCACCTGCTGGTGGAAGAGCTCGTGCAGCGGCGAGTCTGGGTAGACAAACTTGCCCGGGCCCACGCCGTTGTGGCCATTGGCGTGGCCGCTCATGAGCAGCGAAGTAGGAAAATCCTAGCACGCGATGTTGGGGGTGAAGGTGCTCGGAGCCTCCAGTAGCCTTGAATTCTTCTTTTGTTTGTTTGTTTTTTTTCTAGTCTTTTCTATTTCCGTTTACGTGGCTCTTACGTACATTCCCGGAGGAGGACTGCTGACAGGGTTTGCGATGGGCGTGACGATGTGGAGTGGCGCGAAGGGTTTCTTCTGTCTCGCGTCCACCCATACCGCGCTGGTGTCCAGTCCGAGCCAGGCTGTTCTTCGCCTTCCTACCTAACCTAACCTTTATTGAGTTGTTGCCGCCGCCTTTTGCCATTGGGCGCCCGCCGCGCGAAACTCGGGTCGCAACTCTCCCGGCGGCGTCAGAAAACACGCCTGCGTGGATCGCGTTGCACCAATCCTCGCCACCCAACGCGGCCAAAGGATACATGCATCAACCTTCTTCCCCTCGAGAACCCGCGGCGGCGATGGCAATCGCGCGGCGCCCGCTCATGTTTACCGCGCGTCAGCGCAGCGAGCCGCCCGTGAGCTGTGCATTTTGCCTGGACCCCTGTGAGGTGTCCGAGAGGCAGCCCATCCTCACCTGCTCCTGCTGCAACGCCATCGTGCACGAGGCTTGCTGGTCGGCCTACGTCAGCGCGAACTTGGGCGCGTCCATGCTCGCGGCGAGGCAAGATGGTTTCGACTCGATGGAGGGCATTCGGCGACTGCATCGCTGCATCTCCTGCCGCGCATGCGTACACAGTTTGCCAAACGTCGGAGAAGCTCGCCTCGTCAGGACGCCACCTCGGCGGAAGCTGTCGCTGCGCGCTCAGATCAAGGAGCTGCAGAGGAGCGTGCGACAAAAGGAGGAGCTGCTGAGCACGATCCGCGCCAGGCGATCAAGGGTGAGCGCAGAGGCATGCGCCGCTCCCGCGGACTGCCCTTTGAGGTCGATGCGAGAGGAGGAGCAGGAAGTGTTGGGAGAGCTGGCCGCGACGCTGGCCAAATGCGCGGATGATAAGCGGGCGCGCCTCACCGAACTCACCGCGCTCCTCAGCTCCGGCGCCAACGACTCGGCGCCGTCCAAGAAGCGGAAGGGCCGGGATTGATGCCGACTGCCCAGCAGCAGGCCGGCCAGCGCCAAAGCCAAGCCAGCCGCAGGGTCGCAGTGCGCGGCGAAAGTCATAAGGGACCTCGCTGCGAGCCAGCTGAATGTAGGTTGAAGAGCGCAAAAAAAATCGCTCCCAATATTAAAGTATAAAGAGCTCAAACCCGATATCAGCTCTCTTGGGGCCGTCCGAATGTCGTCTCTACTGTCCAAGTTGTTGAACGGGAGGAGTGCACTGGACGCGAGGGTCGGTCGGCTCCTAACTAACTAGCTAGCTGTATATAGTCGCGATACGCGATCTGCCGGCGTGCGTATGAGCTCACTACTCGAGTAGCTAGATAGAGCTCACACTAGAGGCCGTCATCGCATTCGCTCTCCTGGTACCCAGCGCTGGCTTCTGACTGTCGTTGCTGTCTCTCCCTGCTCGACTGTCTGTGCTTGTGCGTCTTGGGTCCGGGGTTGTAAGAAAATGAGGCAAGTTGCTGCCTGCGCCGAAAAGTCACGTCGGAGGTGCCACCTCGGCAAAGCCCGCGACGACAGCCTTCGACGGCAGGCACGTGGTTTGTTGTGCTCCCCATACGGGCCTATTAGCCGTGCTTTGCCACCTCGTCTCTCCGGTCCCAGCCCGCAGCCGCGCGTGACATCCCCAGGCTGCACTCACACACCGCCGCTGCTCGTCCCGCACAGGCCGAACGCTGATGGAATGATTTGGTACACCGCGCAGGAGGTGGAGAGGATCAACGCGCTGCTCCTCGCTAAGAAGCAGCAAGGTACAGGTGTCCTCCCGCCGCCCAGTTCCGAGGAGCATGGTCACATCCGGGCACTGAGCCGGGGCAGCAGCGTGGCAACCACCGCTGCCTCGCCGTCGCCCTCCGCCTTTGCCTCGCCGAAAGCTGATCGTGTGAAATGTGACGGGAACCCACTTTGCATCGCACCCACGACCCCCGCGGCGCAGGATCCCGGAAAGTGAGGAGCCCGGGCCTTCCCCTTTCTTTGAATGCCGTCTCCCGCGGTTTGCCTGTGTCTCTCGTGTCTACGCACACACACTGCCCTGTTCAACTCACCCTCCACACCCCGTACGCACACACACTGCCCTGTCTGAGTGCCTGTGTGTCTGTCGTTGTGGAGATGACTGCCCACTTTACCTGGTGTACTCGTAATAAAATACAGTAGAATCCCTGGCCTGCGGAGGCCACGAACAAAACACAGACTCACACGCGCTTGCGCCGGGCGCTGCGCCTGCGGCGCGGGCCGCGGGGCGCCAGCACGTGCAGAGTGCTCCGCAACGCACGCGGTCTCGGCACGCTCTCCGATGGTCCGGGGCTGTGGGACACCCTCCCCCCCTCTCTCCAAAGATGCCGCTGTGGCCTCGAACACGCTCCCGGCGGACGGGGAGGGAGGGCGCTCAGCGGCAGAGGGGTGGTGGCTGAGGCGGTGGGCGGTCTCAGGCGGGTCTCAGGCGGGGCAACGCGCGAGGGCGGCGTCGAAGGCGGGCATCTGGACCGGCTGCGAGGAGGCGAGGTTCCACGCGAACCCGAACCTACGGGTGGACGTGCAGGGCGTGCGCTGGGACGTGCCTCGGACCTCGGTGGGAGGTGGCTCCTTGGCCGAACTAGTCTATACCCGGTTCTCATGAAGAGCGTCTTGCCGAACTGGGCCTACGGGGGGGACGTGTCGCGTGTCGTGGACGCGGACAGGGAACGGAGGGGCCTTGAGAAGGGGGGGGGGGGGTCGCCATCCCCGAGCCGAGCGTGCCGCCCATGCCGCCGACCATGAAGCGCGCCATGTCCCCGAGGGAGGAGGCGCGGCCCTTGGTCAGGAGGACGAAGGTCACCTACCAGCCCACACCGTGCTACCCTGTGCTCCTGCGGTGGGAGGACTCGCCCCTCGGCCCGCAGCGCGAAGGGGCACCGCGTTGAGGATGTACTGGAAGACAGTCGTACCGCACGTGGTGACGGCAAAGTCCTGTCGGCATGGGACCAGGGGCGGGCGTGTGGCGTGCGTGCGGCGTGGCGATGGCGACGTCCTTGGAAGGTGTGGGGAGGGCGCGAGGAGGAGGAGGGCCAGGTGCCAAGAGAGGGCCGTCTGTGAGCTAGATCTCGTCTCGACCTCGGCTAGATCTCGGCTAGATCTCGGCTAGATCTCGGCCTGTCCGATGTGGAGCTGGTCAAAGAGCATGTACGTATGCGCCTGGAGGTTGGGTCAGTGGAGGTTGGGTGAAGGCAGGTGGTCGGTGGTGTGAGTATGTGTGGTGTGTGTCGGGCCAGGCAAGGATTCGGAACGGCATGCTTCGGTCAGGGTTTCGTCGAAGGTTTCGTCGAAGAGCACAGGAGGCGTGGGTGTGTGCGTGTGTCAGGATCCATATCGGGCTCGATCTCGGGCTCGATCTCGGCTCGATCTCGCCTGCCAGGTCGGCCCTTCCTGCCACGACGCCGGGAGCAGCGACGCCTCCTCGCTAGAGCCTACCTCTCGCATCTCCTGGCGCGAGTCAGCGAGTCGGGTGAGAGAGCCGAGGCACGCCCCGCCTCGCCACAGCCTGTCTTCTGCTGCTGCAGCAGCACGCCGCACGCGAGCCGGCCTGCGGAGGCACACCCACACCCCTCTCATCCACGGGCCACTCGCGGCGGCAGGCAGCAGGCGCGCGCGCGGGCGGACCGATCAGGGCGGGGATGAAAATTGCAAACGAGGCGGCCGTCATCTGCGAGAAGAGGACGCCGCATCCGCGCAACTCGACGACCGCCTCGATAGCGACGAAGCCGGAGAGGATCATCGCGAGGCCTGCGGTGCCGGTCGCCTCTTCGTACCCTTGCCCGCGCGCCTAGCACCGCTTCTCCCGCACGGCTCAGTCCCTTCCGAGCAGCGTGCCTCACAACCCCTCCGGGCCCACGCGCCATGAAGAAGTCGACGAGGAAGGGCGAGCAGACCGCAAACAGGCCGTAGAAGGCGCCCATGAACGGGACGATCCGCATCGTGCCGGTGATGGCGCGCAGCGACGAGACCACGACCGACTCGCCCGTGATGCCCGCAAAGAGAAAGTAAAAGACGGGCGACGCCATCACCACGTTCGCCGCCGCCGCCACGTTCTTGCGCAGGAAGTCCTCGATCAGCTGCCGGTCGCTGATCCGATCGCTCACGCCGAGCGAGCGGAAGCCGGCCAGCAGCCCGTTGATGGCGGAGGCGCGCTGCTCATCCGACGCGGCCATGGCGCCGAGGACGACGCCCGCGAAGAGTGCGGTCCCCTGGAAGAAGCCGGCGTCAAACTGGCCGCGCGCAAGCAGGCCCGCCTCTTCGGCCGCCGCCGTGCTCAGCTGGCGGGCGGCCGGCCGCAGCAGCGAGCCGCGCGAGCCGGCCGGGCAGGAGGCTCGCGCCACAGCTAGCGGCGCTCGGTGCAGGCTGCCTGCGCAGGCTCGCGGCGCAGCGCGGAGCGCACAAGCGGCGCGCAGCATACTGGTGTCCTATGAGGAGGGACGGGGCGTTTGTGAGGGCGCCGAGCGGGCAACGAGGCGCGGGAAGGGGAGGAGCAGGGTGCTTGATGAGGCGTCGGACTTGTTGCAACTCACTGGCGAGAAAAAGAAAATTCCGCCGCGTCGCCAAAGTTTTTTGTAAAGAACACTCCAGGATGTGCTTCAGCTCGAGCAAAACGCATATTCGGAAAAAGAAATGTTACGCAAAGAAGGTGACACGCTGCAAGCAAGGTTGTGCTCGACGGCCTCTCTCGTCGGCCGCCCCGAGCGCGCCCAAGTGCCGTGACCATCACTGCGGCCTCGGCGCTGTCTAAACGCACGCTCGTAGCATGGGTGCAAGCATCGTGAGTCGTGCCGTGCTCTCCCAGATGCATTTTGCGGTGTTTGCCATGGTTGCGTCTGCTGCGAGGCCGCCGGTCACCGGCACTGTTGCTGCACGAGACCGCGTCCCTCCTTACGTTGCATCGTCATCTGCGAGCGGCGGATGCGATTGCAGCTTCACTGCGACATGGCCTTGCCCCGACAAGCCGCTCTTTGGACCAATGAGCGTTACCGTCGACCACAGGCCGAAGAAATCAACATCGTGCTTGGGTGACGATATGTTCGTCGTTCCTGGCCAGGCGGGCCGCACGGCCATGTATCAGTCGGGCGCGTACTGCCACGCCGACTTCCTAAACGTCACGATTCCAGCGCAGCAACATGCCAACAACGACGGCTCTTATTGCTTTGCCGCCTGCTGCCCGCCGCCGCCATCTGCCGAACTCCCCGCCGGCGAGCATGCCGCAGGCAGTGTCACTGCACGAGATCTTCCTGCTACCGTACTACCATCAACCGCCAACGACGGATGCGACTGCAGCTGGACTGCGACCTGGCCGTGCCCCGGCAAGCCCCTGTTCGGGGTGGCGAGTGTTGTCGTTGACCGACGGGGTTATGCGGTCGCGTGCAACGTTGACAACTTCATCGTGCCCGGCCAGTTGGGCCGCACGGTTAAGTACGAGGCAGGTGCATATTGCGACGCGGACTTCCTAAACGTCACGATTCCAGCGCAGCAACACGCCAACGACGATGGCTCCCGTTGCTTTGCTGCCTGCTGCCCGGCGCCGCCACCAACTGCTGCCAAACTCCCCACCGGCTTCAAAACAGCAATTCCAGCTCGAGCCTCAGTTGTTACTGGGCACGATGTACCAAGTGTCACCGTGCACGACGACTGCAGCTGGATTGCGACCTGGCCGTGCCCTTGGGGCCGCAAGCCTCTTGCCGGGCCGACCAGCTTCGCCGTCAAATATGTCCCGGGCGTCACTTTCCAGGATTCTTGGGGATCGGGGTATTTCGAGCGCGTCACCGTGCCAGGACAAGGGGGTCGAACTGTGCGATTCGATTGGCGTGCTGGCGCCAAGTACCTCATCGTCAATGTGCCCGCGCAACAGTACGCCCACGACGATGGCTCAAGTGGCTTCGCTGCTTGCTGTCCTATTCCGTTGCCGAGTCCTCCGTTGCCACCGGCATCGCCACCCTCCCTCCCGCCATTCTCGCCCGTTGCCGCGTACTGGATCGAGGTGCAAGGTGGGCGGCGCTCGAATGAGGTCTCTTGGAGTCTTGCGTGCAACGATCGCCACCTCATCTCGGACGGACCCTACGGCACGTGGTACAGCCATCAGGACAGCCCGCATGCATACAGCGTCGACGTCCCTCCGCTCTCAAGAGGGGTGTATCCTCTCCATGTACGACACGTGGGGCAATGGCTGGGACGACGCCACGTGGTCAGGCCTTGGACAAGAAGACATCACGCTCGGGTGGGGGCACTACGGCACCCACTCTTTTGTGGTGCCTCACCACCCTCCGCCGTCGCCGCCGCCATCGCCGCCGCCATCGCCTCCCACCGTCTCCGCCATTGCCACCGCCGTCCCCGCCGATGCCGCCGCCACAACCACCCTCGCCGCCCAAACCGCCACCAGCAATGCCGCCAAGTCTCGAGGAGAAAGTCAAGGGCCTTTTGAGCGATATGGTTCTGAGCACCGAGGTGAGCGCTCTACTACCGTGGGGTGGCGAGGACGCAACACTGCTCGAGGGTCAGATGAAGTCAGCCGAAGCGCTATTCTCCAACTTCACGCAGGCGCCCATGCTTGTCAACCTCACCTCGGCGCTAGTTCTGTACTTCTCCAAGATCGACCCATCGCAGCTCAACAGCTCATGGACGGAGGAGATGCAACGCGCGTGGCTTGGCCGGCTCTTCCTTCTCGGCAGCAGGGTGAAACACAGGAGCGAGGGCGCCTATCTCAAAGAGCTGTTGGAGAAGGCTGAGGAGTACATCACCGTCGGAGCTGGCGACGCCTTGGCCGGGGACTATCTCAGCTCATTTCAACGGAGGAAGGCAGAGCTTTGGGATGGGTTGGATGACCTCCAGCAAAGTGCACCCGGGGTCTTTCTCGGGTACACCGTGCCTGAACTCTGCCGCAAAGCAGGTGACTTTGGTAAGGATGCGGCCGAAGACGTTGTCTCAAGTACTGGCGTCGGCCTCGGCGCAGTAATGGCGTACCATATTGCTGATGCTGCTATGGCCAGTGAGGAGGGTAGCGGCACGGATCACGGACGACGCCTTCGTGCCGTCACTCGTAGCCAATCCTTCAAGGGCGAAGCATGTGTGTCAGAGCGATCCGAGAGTTCAAAGGCGAAGTGCCCGTGGTGCATCGTGATGAAGATGAATGACTATCGAGCAGCAATATGCAACAAAGCAATCAAGGGGCATTGTTGCCCCCTGGGCGTCACCGATTTGACGAAATGTAGCGCGAATCATGACGCGGACCACCGAGTTGAATGCCAGTTCATGCAATTTGTGGTCGACGAGATGATTGAGCGTGGTGAGATCCCAATCCCAACAGAAGCTGACTTTGAGCAATTTAATCAAGAATTCAATTCGAAGCATAACCTGAAGCCAGAGCCTGGACTCACGTCCGACAAAAAGTGGGGACTCAACCAGAAGATGGGCTATGAACAGAAGGAGCTTCTCAAGGAGCAGAGAAAGGTAGGCCTGTATGGTGAGCTCCCCAAAACAGCCTGGGACCCGAAACCGACGCCGACAATGTCTGTGGCTGAAAGAACTGCGAATCAAAGGTCTCTTTACATCAAGTCGCTAGAGGGAACAAAGGACATGACGGCGAATTGCAAGAATCCCTTCACTTGCAAAGCCTTCGGCGAGGCTGCAGGCGTGCTGGGCAAGCAGATGGACAATAACATATGTTGTCCAGTTTGTATGGGCCTCAGATCAGCTAAGGCGGTATGCGATAAATTCCGTGACAACATCATGCCCTCCTTGGCCAAGTATGTCGATACGAATAAGGCTAAGTCCGCGGCAGTAGCAGCCAAGGTGGCAAGGGAAGCAATGGAGACGGTGGGGAAGAAGGGCGCGAAGGAAGGTGCGCAAGCGCGCCTAAACTAGCTGCTGGAGCTGCTGCGGCGGGAGCGATTATCATTGCCGGCGTGGTGGCAGCATCGGCCGTCACTGTGGCTGACCACTTCTGGGTCACCGATGCTGAAAGGGAGGAGGAGCTCCTGCGAAAGGATGCGTTTGAGTGCGACTGCGCCTGGACTTCCGACTGGGTCTGCCCGAATTCGGTTCTCGTTCGGTTTCCTGGGTACTACTCTCCCGGCGAGGCCCCGGATAAGATTGCGAGGGACGACGGCTCCTGGTGCTTTAGCTACTGCTGTGGCGTGGTCGAGGAGTCAATGACCGCAGCAATGAAGGTCATCAAGAACCGCGATGAGCTTGCCGTGCATGTGCATGATGCCAAAGAGCAATACTTGCGCCAACAGCTAGCAGCGCCACCACGCACGTTCGGCTCTGCAGCTGTGGCAGCAAGCGTTCTTGGGATGGGCCTCGTTGCCGGGCTAATTTTGATCGCCGCTCGGCACCGAGGGCAAGTGCATTACCATTGGTGTAGTGCCCTCAGCTTTGCCTCCCGACCAAGAGGAGCAGTTCGGATGTTTAGATCGGATGTGTTTGTTCAAATTGTTGAGTGTCCTCAGAGCCGTATCTAGATACGTACCGAATCCTGCAGCGCTCTCGGCTCTAGCACTAGAGTGCTCACCACGAGCACGCAGCACACATTCACATACAATAGACTACAGACATTGCGGCGTTCTGGCGCTTCGTTGAACGTCGAGACAAAGAATCAAAATCAAACTCGATTGGTTGTCTTGAAAACACTGCTCATATGGGGGTCGCATTTCAATACTGCGAGGATGCGGTTGTGTGGGGACACCATCGCGCCGAAAAAAGTGCGTCCAGCAGCAGCCGACCAGCCTCGGCGTCCCGAGCGTCGGCGAGTGCGCGGAGGGCGTCGAGGGCGGAAGCCAGCGCGTACCTATCGCCCTGTCCGTCGTCCACGAGCAGCCTTCCCAACCTTGCGACCACCCTCGCGCGCCGTTCACCGCCCTCTGGAAGGCACGCGCGCAGCGATTCCGAGCCGGCGATCACCTCGCGGGGTGGCGGGGGGGAAGCGCGGATTGCATCTCTAGTACAAGGCGGGTCTCTTGGCCGATGATCACCTGCTGCAGTGCCAGCAGCGCCGACGCGTGCAGCGGCCACAGCGGCGTCCCCCCGTGCGGCAGCGACACGCCCTTGTCGTCCAGCGCCGCCAGCAGAACCTCGACGGCGCCGCACGTCTCCGGCGTGGCCGCAAACCGCTGCAGCGCCGGGCCGATCGCCTCGGCGGCGGCGGAGCGAGCCACGTCGAAGTGGTCGCCGGGAGGTGGCGCCAATGCCACCAGCCGCGACAGCGCGCCAACGGCACTGACGACTTGTTGGGGGGCGAGAGCGGCGCCGCTGTCAGCCGCATCGGCTGCGCGCAGCGCGCCGCCAAGCGCGTGCGCGAGATAGCGGAGGACCTGCAGTGCAATGTGCAGCAGCCATGAGCAGTCGCACTCCCCTTGTGCGCGAATTGGAGGCCGCGGAGGGCGGAAAGGATCCCTCGCCGAGATGCCCCGAGATGCCC